AACGAAGAAGCTCTGGCTGCAAAGGGGGTGTGGAGTCAGGGGAGGCGGGACTTCATTCGCTTATTTATAGCATGGAAGAGACAGGAGCTGCAAGGAGAGAGGCTGCAGAGGCGCTAATGCTGTGAGTTGGTTAGGGGCCCAGGACGGGACAGCGACCATGAACAAGAAAGACAAGGAGGCTGTTCTGGTGCAACCAATAGGCCTGTCAGGAGGAAGGCACCAGACGGATGGACCGGTCAGTGCAACTCAAGAGGATCCAATGGGTGGGAGACCAGGAGGAAGCACCTGGCTCTTGGCTTCGGATCGGCGCAGCACCGGCCGTAGCAGCCATTTGGGGGGTGAACCAATGGAAGGAAGACCTTTGTCTCTCTCTGTCTCGCTGTCTAACTCTGCCTGTCAAAAAAAAAAAAAAAAAAGAGGATGCAATGGGCAGGGTGAGGGTGCTCAGGAAAGCTGGGCAGGTGACTCTTGGGCCGGAGCTGAATGGAGGAGGTAGTGGGAAGACAGGGTGGGGTGTCTGTGGCCTGCTGTGCTGACCTGAACCAGGGAGGGCCTTCCTCGTCCTCCGAGGGTGAAGGAAGGAGGAGGGACAGGGGAGTGGAGAGTGAGGAAGGTGGTACCTGACAGCCTGCATTTGGCTGAACGTGACCCTGAGCCCCCGAGAGACAGAGAGAGAGAGAGAGATGGGGCCCCTGCCGTGTCTTCCCACCCGCGTGGCAAGGTCTGCTCAGGATGTCCGTGCCCAGGGACGGCCCAGACCCTGCAGTGACAAGCAAGGCCTGTCATCCCACAGGATGCACAGTCGATGGTCAGCTGCCCGTAGAAACCCAGTTTCCATTCACATGGAATGTCCAGTACAGGCAAACCCCTCGAGACAGAACAGTAGATCATTTGTTGCCAGGGGCTGGGGAGGAGGGGGCGGGGAGCACAAATATGGGGTCCGTGTTGGGTGAAGAGAACGTTCTGGAATGAGAGGTTGGTGACAGTCACGTGGCACGGCGGGCGTGCTGGCCGGCCGGCACCATCGTATATGTCAGTGCAATCCTGGTGGCATATTTCATGACAGGTGCGTTTGGCCACGGCACAAAGTCCAGGCAGGAGGAGTAAGGACAACCTAGCAGGCGTTGCTCCTCCAGACCCTGCAAGTCGCAGCTCACTGTGGCAAACAGTGACAGCCACTGAATTGTGAAAAACAGCCCAACCCTCCAACAGTCAGTGTACAATTCCTGTGCCAATACCTACGTGCACTTATGGATAGAAAGGCAATGCTGCGCGTTGCACCGGATAACCTACTTTCCTTACTTGCCAGGGCACCACGTCAGTGTTATTGAGGCCTCATTTGCATACCATGTACCCATTTCAAGTGTATGATCCACCAGTGCTTGGTATGTTCCCCAAATTGTACAGCCATCCCCCACATTCGGTTAGGAGTTTGACCGCCCCAAAAAGAAACCCCCACACTCCTCGGCCATCCCTCTCCTTTTCATGGTTTTAAATAAAGATGGACAGCATCATTCTTACTGGCAAGTTAGGACCACACTGCAGGAAATCTAAAAGACCATCCATTGCAAGACACCCTTATTTACCATTAAGAAACAGAAACGGGCTGGCATTGTGGCCTAGTGGGTTAAGACACCATCTGCAATGCAGGCATTCCATATGAGCGACAGTTCAAGTCCTGGCTGCTCCACTTCACAACCAGCTCTCTGCTCATTTGCCTGGGAAAGCAGCAGAAGATGGCCCAAGTACTTGGGCCCCTGCACCCGCGTGGGAGACCTGGAAGAAACTCCTGGCTCCTGGCTCCGGATCGGCACAGTTCCAGCCGTTGCGGCCAATTTGGGAGTGAACCAGCAGGTGGAAGACCTCTCTCTCTCTCTCTTTCTCTCTTTCTCTCTTTCTGCCTGTCCTCTCTCTGTATAACTCTGACTTTCAAATAAATAAATCTTTTTTAAAACTATTTTTATTTACTTGAGAGGCAGAGTTAAAGAAAGATAGAGGTAGAGACAGAGAGGTCTTCCATCTACGGGTTCACTCCCCAAATGGCCGCAATGTCCAGAGCTGTGCCAGTCTGAAGCCAGGAGCCTGGAGCTTCCTCCAGGTCTTCCACGTGGGTGCAGGGGCCCAAGCACTTGGGCCATCTTCTGCTGTTTTTACAGGCCATCATGTAACTGAATCAGAAGAGGTGAAGCCAGGATCTGAACCGGTGCCCATATGGGATGCCAGTGCCGTAGGTAGATGCTTAACCTACTATGCCACTGCACCAGCCCCACCTTTTTTCTTTTCTAAAGAAAATTTGTTTGAAAGGCTGAGCAACAGAGAGAGGGAGTCAGAGATCTTCCGCTGGATAGCTCCAGGAGCCAGGGATTCCACCCAGGTGTCCCAAATGGGTGGCAGGGACCTAAGTGCTTGAACCATCATCTGTTGCCTCCCAGGCATATGGAGCAGCATAGGAAGTAGAGTAGCTGGGACTTGAACTCACACTCCAATACGAGATGTGAGTGTTGGAAGTGGCAGCCTAACCTGCTGTGCCAACACACCTGCCTCATTATCCCCTTCTTACCACTTAATTAGTTATTAGTGAAAGAGGACTCTTAGGCTTGCTTATTTATTTATTTATTTATTTATTTTTTACAGGCAGAGTTAGACAGTAAGAGAGAGACAGAGAGAAAGTTCTTCCTTCCATTGGTTCAACCCCTAAATGGCCGCTATGGCTGGTATGCTGCACCGATCTGAAGCCAGGAGCCAGGTGCTTCCTCCTGGTCTCCCATGCAGGTGCAGGGCCCAAGGATCTGGGCCATCTTCCACTGCCTTCCTGGGCCACAGCAGAGAGCTGGACTGAAAGAGGAGCAACCGGGACAGAACCGGTGCCCCAACCGGGACTAGAATCCGGAGTGCTGGCACCGCAGGCAGAGTATTAGATTTTAGGCTTATTTATACGTAGTACCTGCAACCCGCATAACTTTGTGGAAATAACGTTTTTTTATTTTTATTTTTATTTTTTTGACAGAGTGGACAGTGAGAGAGAGAGACGGAGAGAAAGGTCTTCCTTTACCATTGGTTCACCCTCCAATGGCCGCCGCAGCTGGCACACCGCGCTGATCCGATGGCAGGAGCCAGGTGCTTCTCCTGGTCTCCCATGGGGTGCAGGGCCCAAGCACTTGGGCCATCCTCCACTGCACGCCCGGGGCCACAGCAGAGAGCTGGCCTGGAAGAGGGGCAACCGGGACAGAATCTGGCGCCCCGACCGGGACTAGAACCCGGTATGCCGGTGCCGCAGGCGGAGGATTAGCCTAGTGAGCCACGGCGCCGGCCCGGAAATAACATTTAACACTCATGAGCAAATTCACAAACACACAGGACAACCAACAGTGAAGCATATCCCCCTTTGGAGATGTTCAATGTGGAAAAAATGCCCCCCCCCCCCAGAGTCAGTGATGTGAAGATGACGTGATGTGGGAGGAACTTAGCTACAAAGCAGTGAGGATGGGCGTTTGGCCCAGGGGTGAAGGCATGGGTTCAGATGCCCACATCCCTCATAGCAGGGCCTGGGTGAGATTCCTGGCTCCAGCTCCCGGCTTCTGCCTCCTGCTGATGTGGGCCCTGGGAGGCAGCAGTGACGGATGGAGCAACTGGGTCCCTGCCACCCATGTGGGAGACCTGGATTGAGTTTGCAGCTTCTGGCTGCCAGACCGTTGTGGGGAGTGAAGGAATGAACCAGTGAATGAGAGTGCTGGCGCTGGCGCTCTCTCGCTCGCTCTCTCTCGTCTCAAATAAATAAATATTAATAAAAACAGGTTAACCTAGGCAGGGAAGGGCAGCTCACAGAATCAGTGCTTAGAACCAGGAGAAGCACAGCTGTGCTAAAGCCCCGTGCAGGAAGGGTTCGCTCAGAGCAAACGGCAGGGCCTGGCCACTGCTCCGAACAGCCTTGGCTGTCCCAGGCGTTTCTACATCGCCATTCCTTCCAGAGCCCCTGCCTGGCTACCCCACGATCACTGGTTACTTGGAGGCTTCTTTCTTTCTCAACTGCACAGCCAAGAGACTCCCAGCACCCCCCGCGCCCGCCCCTTGGCCGGGCTGCCGTCACACGTTCACATTGTCTCCGTCTCAGCACTGCAGACCCTGCAGAGAGGGGCCTTCTCACTCACGCATCGCTGTGCACTTGTCCCCACACGGCGAGGACACATGCCCGGAGGTGGGTCCGGGGAGTGGAAGGGTAGCCCTGGGCACATGTTCCAAGCTGCCTTCCGAAAGCCTTGTGCCCGTCGGCAGGCCGTCCCCCGACCCCCACCCCTGCATGGATGCGCCTTGACTGCCAGCAGCTGGCTTCTACAAAAAAAAAAAAAAAAAAAAAAAAAAAAAAAAAAACAGAGAAAATAAACATCCCTGAGGGAGCCAGGGGGCCAGGGTGTGGCACAGCAGTGAGACGGGGCTTGGGACACCCCCCTCCCAAGCCTTTCCGACCCAGCTGCTTGCTAGCGCACACCCTGGGAGGCAGCAGGTGATGGCGCAAGTGCTTGGGTCCCTTCTAGCCATGTGGGAGGCCCAGATGGAGGTCTAGGTGTTGGCCTAGCGCAGCCCTGGCTGTGGTGGGCATCTGGGGGAGTGAACCAGGTAGAAGACTGGTCTGTCTGTCTCTCTCCCTGTCTTTCAGAATTAACTAAATAAACACATCCTTCAAGGCGGGGCATGCATGCCACAGCTTTTCTGTGGGGCTGGGCTGTTCTCTGTGGGATCTCATCAAGCCTTGTAGTAGAAGGAAGTGTAGTATTATAATAATAGTAACTGGCAATTATTGAGCGCCTGGCACAATTCTAAGCGCCGCGTTGATGCCTTGGCTTCTTTGGGTATTCCTTAGATGTGGAATGAAGCGACTGCCCGTGCCCATCTTGGAGGGTTTGAAAGGACAGGACAAAGTGCTCCCCGTGCCCCCCGCCCTGTGGACGGGGAGAGGGAGGTAGGTGACTGGCCACCGTCCCTCCCTGCATCTCTCCTGGCAGGTGGATGAGATCCTGGGGGACCAGCTGACCACCAAGGAGCAGGTGTTCACGGCGCTGAAGCAGTTTGCCGCTGAGCAGCGGGTGGACGACCTGGTGCAGGCACTCACCCTGGCACTGCCGCACGAGGCCCGGGGGCCCCTCCTGGACAGCCTCAGGTACCTCGGGCAGGGCGGGTCTCTCCCTCAGCTACCCAAGCAGTCACAGCCTGCCCTGCTCCAACTCCAAACCCAGATGGACACCAAGACACTGTTGTTCTTGGAACAAGGTGCAGGCAGGGGAGCCTAGGACGGTGCCATGGGGCCATGGGCATCCCCCACACCCGCCTCTGCCCTCTGATTCTCCGACGATGACTGAGTGTTGAGGACCCCACCAGACGCTTCCAGGAACATTCTCTGGCTGAAGCCCCCATTTCACTGAGGCTCAGAGAGGCTGGGGGTCCTGGGAACCAGCTCAGCTGTGTACTTTTTTTTTTTTTTTAAGATTTATTTATTTGAAAGGCAGAGTTACAGAGAGGCAGAAGCAGAGAGAGAGAGAGAGAGAGAGAGAGAGAGAGATGTCTTCCATCTGCTGGTTCACTCCCCAAATGGCCACAATGGCTGGAGCTGGACCAATCTGAAGCCAGGAGCTTCTTCCAGGTCTCCCATGGGGTCGCAGGGGCCCAAGGACTTGGGCCATCTTCCACTGCTTTCCCAGGCCACAGCAGAGAGACGGATCGGCAGTGGAGCAGCCGGGACTCAAACCGGTGCCCATATGGGATGCCAGCACGGCATTTACACCTGGCAGCTTTCCCCACTACGCCACAGCGCCAGCCCCCAGCTGTGTACTTTCTGGTCTTCCGAGGTGCTCTGGACTCACCCTTTAGGTTTAATCTCAGAAGAAAAAAAAAAAGTCTTGGGGGTGGGGGTTCTCACCTGGGGTGATCCAAGAGCCTTCCCACCCCGCCTGCATCCTCCCAGGGCCCCCTCTGGGGTTCTCTGCTCCCGCCCTGCCTCCCAGGCCTGAGTCTGCTCCCCCGCCGCCACCCTCCCCTCCTCTGGGCTCAGCCCGCCCCCTCCCCTCGCTGCCATTCACCCCGCAGCCTGCCCCTCCCTCTGGGCCTGGCCAATGTCAGGGACGGGGCTGGCCTCCCCTCCACCCTCCACCCCCCACCCCAGCCCGGGCGCGGTGTCTCTGCTCTGCCACGGAGCCCGGGAGGCCACCGAGAAAGGCCACCATGAGCTGCCTTGGGTGAGTAAGGGGCCCGTCCCTTGCTGGGAAAACCCAGAGAGGAAAGAAAAAGTTATTTCTAGAGCGAATTTGCCGCGGGGATGAGGCTGTGACGCCAAGCGCTCCCTGCGGAGGTGATGGACGCGAGCCCGCCTGTCCGCGCGCCCGGGACTGGGCTGGGGGTGGGGGTTGGGGGGCGCAGCACCTGCTGTCCCCGGGAAGTTGGCGCGCTGGTCCCCGCTCCGCCCGCAGCCAGCTCAGCTGGATGCCCTGCGCGCGCCCAGCGCTCCCCTGGGTGCTGCTCTGTTCCTGTCCCCGCCTTTCCCTGGCCGCAGCTGGTCTCCGAGATTGGCAGGTCAGGAAGGCCGGGGGAGGGGCACCCCGGGGGGCATGCTGGGCTCCGAGCCCCGGGATGCCCGGCCCTGCAGCCTCCTTCCATGCGGCTGAGCAGCCACAGCCTTGGCTGTCAGTGCGGTGGGGGGAGGCTGCTGGCGGAGGGGGCAGCGCCCAGCTGGGCTCTGGAGGGAGAGGGCTCCCCTAGCAGGGGGCTGAGGCATGCCCCCCACTCTCCCCCACACACCCATCCTGGGCTGGCAGGTTGCCAGTCCCGGCTAGTGCCGGCTCCAGCACTGATGGTGATCCCCGCACAGCGTGCCTTCCTGATAGAGCTCATGGGGGACAGGGGACCTAAAGGCCACAGTTAGCCATGTTCCCCGGGTCCAGGGAGCCTGCATGGCTAACTCAGCACTGAGCAATCCAGGCAGCCTCCTCGGCAGAGGCAGCAGGCACCAGCGTGTGGCTCAAGCAGTGAGCAGTGTCGGAGCGGCCCTGTGTCCTTTGGAGAGTGGAAGGACACCAGCAAGGAGGCTGATAAGGGGCAGGCACCTGGCTGGAGAGGATGGGAGCAGTGCCACGGTGGCCCCGGGGTAGCCCATGGTGCCCAGCGGGAAGCATCCCAACATGCCAGCCAAGGAGAGCCCCTGCTGGGACAGTGGGACCTGGCATAGAGAAGACACAAGGTTTTAATGGAGGCTCAGTGGCCAAAGGGTAGTGAAAAAAGAAACGTATATTTGTGTGTGAGTAAGAGAGAGAACTGCACGTGGGGGGTGGGGGTGGGTAGAACCCCTCCCAAATCAGGGAGGTGGGGACCATGAGACCAGGAACCTGCACCATCCTGCCCAGTAGCCACCTGCCACATGTGGCCATTGAAGATAAAATGTATTTACTGTTTGCTAACATTGACACTTCAGCTTAGGCTCACAGCTACATTCCAGGGTGGTTGCCCTGTGGGGTTGTGCAGAGAACATGTCCGCGGTCACAACGTAAGCCAAAGGCAGCGTCTTCCTCTCCGACGGCAGTTAGTCCTGCCGCTCAGAGCCTAATCTGGGTCTGTCCCAGAGGGACGGATCCCAGGCTGATGAGGTGATGAAACGGCTTTATAATTAGGACAGGCAGGCCGTTTGGAAAGTGTGACGTGGCCAGGAGGGAACAGGAGAGCAGTCAGCTTTGTGGTCCACTAGCGTTTCAAGGAATGGGAGGAGGAGGGCAAGGAGGAGGGGGCGGTGTCTGCGGGGGGTGGGGTGGGATGGGAAGCAGCTGGAGTTTGGAACCCAGCAAACCCAGCTGGAACCCCAGGTCCACTCTGGCGATGGCACCTGGAGCAGGTTAACTGACATGTATGGCATATTTTTAAAGTGGGGCGATGATGCAGGATCCCCAGTGGGAAACCATACAAATGAACTTTCCCATCTGTAGGCAGGACAGAGATGCACTGAGAATCTGGGGAGGGGTGTGAGGAACCATCAGCATCTCCCCCACCCCCTTCCACGTGGGTGCTGGGTGCTGGGGCCACCATCAAACCAAGTCATTGGGAGAACTCGGAGGTTGTGAAAGTGGCAGCGTCAGGCTCCCTGGCTGCCTCCCGGGCACGGTCTCTCTACCAAGAGCGGCTTGGCAAAGTGCAGTGCTAACGGCATTTGGTGCCTGATGGTTCTGCCGCTGGGGGCAGTCCTGCGCCTTGGGTGGTGTTCAGCAGCATCCCTGGCCTCACTGTCCACTGAATCTAGTGCCCCCCATTGCCATCTTGCAACCAGAACTGTTTCCAGGCAGTGCCAGATATCCCCCAGGGAGCAGAACAAGTGCCCTGCAGAGGTCTCTGGCAGCACCCTCTCCCAGCGGCAGGCGCTTCAGGGAAGTCCAGCCGCTCTCCTGCAAGCCCATGCTGCCTTGGGCCACCTGGCCAGGTGCACCGTACCCGCGGGGATGTGCGCCAGGGCAGCGTGTCCAGATCCGAGCAGGAGCGCATGGTCCACCACAGCACGGGGGCAGGTGCCATAGCTGTTATCATGGCACACGCGGTTCTGGTTGCTGGGCCATTCATTGCACCTGGCACAGAACCAGAAGGTGACTCCATCATGAGAGACAGGCTTTGCTCTCCGTGAGGATGGCTAGACATTTCTGTCCCTGGGCAGGGCTGAGGACAAGGAGTGGGGAGGGCATGGCACCAGGGGGCACTTGGCTTTGGCTTCCTGCTGCTGCTGCCAGGAAGTGCAGGCCTGGGAGGGCACGGCGGGGTGGTGGGCTTGCCAAGGCCAGGTGCACTGTGGCCCAGGGCCTGGACAGAGCACCGGATGCTGGCGGCCACCTCTGCTGTGTCCTCCCTGTGCCTCTCTGAGCCAGGCAAGACGTTTCTCGGAGTGACACAGCCAAAGCCCTGGGGTTTCCAGCCCTGCGAGGGAAGGGCCCACTGCTGTGGCCCCTGCTGAGGTTGCCAGGGGAGGAGCCCTCCCCAGGAAGCCCCCAGGATCTGTCATTTTTCTCCTCTTATTTCAGATTCTGGCCCCCTGAGGCTGTCAGGCTTGGGGTCTGCTCCTGCTCTGACTGGCAGGGAGCAGCAGGGCCAGGGGCAGGGGCAGAGCCCTGTCACCTCCCCCTCCTCCCCTTCAGGCGTCCCTGGGGTCTTGTCCCCACCTGGGCAGCCCCTCCTCACTTGCACTCATCAGGCCTCAGACACTGCCCCTTTGCTGTACTTTGCAGTCCAGCCACGTGTGCCCAACACCCCTACCCTTCCAGCATCACCCCGCCCCTGGAGGGCTCCAGCGCCTGGGGTCCCTCATTCCTCCTTGAATCCTGAAAGTCTCCCATGGCTGCCTGCAGGGCTGGGGTGGGCTGCTGACCTTGGCATTCTGGGCCCCCAGTCCAGCCTCTTCTCCACCAGAGCTTCCCGCTGCGTAGGTAGGAAGGATTTCTCTCCTGCCGGCTCCTGCTAAGCCCTGGAGGCTCGGAACAAAGACCACCCCCGCCCGAAAGCCTTCCAAGTTTTACAAAAAGGAATCGGGGCTTCTTCTGGACCCAGTCTTGGCGGCGGCGCAGCGTGGAGGACGAGCCGCTGTGCGGGTCCAGGCAGGCGAGCCTCCAGAAGGGATAGCACAAGTGCCAAGGGCGGGGAGCGGGGCGACCTCCAAGCGCCCCGGGCTTCCACCCCCACCCCACCCCAACCCCGCCCCCCCGCCAGCTAGCGGAAGGGTCCCTCGGCGGGGCGGGGCGGGGCGGGGCCACGCCAGAGGGGCGGGCGCGGGGCCGCGGGCCGGGACGGCTCGGGAGGGGCCGAGCGCTCTCGCCGGGCAGATGCGTGTGGAGTCGCGGCGCCCTCGCTCCGCTCGCGGGCTCGCCCGCCCCCGGCCCCTCCGCACCTGCCGCTCCGCGGTCCTCGGCTCCAGATGGGGAAAGACCAGGGCTTCTCTCGGCACTTTCGGTAGCTTCCCCGCCGCTCCCGCGCCCCCAGGAACCGTGCGCCCTGGGCGCAGCGGACCCTCCTCCGGCCGGCCTGAAAGGGGGTGGGGCTGGAGCACTGAGGTGCTTCCCTGACCTGGGTGGGCGCCCTGGAGCCTGGGAGGAGCCCGGGGGCTGGGGAGGGTGGAGATAAACGGTGCGGGGAGGTCTTCGCGTTGGGCGCTGGGGACCCTGGAGTCGGAGTCAAAACTAAGGGCTAGGACTGAAAAGCCCTGGTTCCTTCTTTCTCTGATGGAGGGGACAGGACAGAGGCTGAGGTTTGGGTCGGGTGCTCTGGGTGAGAGTTTGGGGGGCACTGCCGCTCCACTCCCTGAGGGCCCCTCTCCAGCAGTTCACTGGTGGATGATCCTGGGTGAGATGGAGAAAGCTGAGTGGGGACTGGGAATACAGCTGAGAGAAAACTCCCTAGGGGAGTCCTTGGTGGAAACCTGGGGTTGGTTTTGGACCTGACCCTGGCAGACAGAACTGAGCTGAGAGCATGGTGGTTTTGTGCCCCCTCCAGGGGGGGAATCCCATGGCCTCAGAGATCTATTGACAAAGGACACGGGAATCCTGGGGCGGCTGTTGCAGGGCTGGCACAGCCAGAGGGGCAGTGGTCAGTCCCTGTAGTCAATGCAGCCGCACTGCGCCCGGCTCTGCTGGGCCAGACTGGGCTGCATGGAGGGCTCACGTGAGCCAGGAAGGGTGTCTGGCTCTCCACGCAGCCTTGGCCTCTGTCTCAGCCGCAAGGACCCCAAGCAGGACAAGGGCCACCCAGCCTCCTCCCACCCGTGTGGTTGATGCCTCACCCTGGCTCCCACCAGAGGGGCAGGCCTTGCTGCTGCAGGCTGGAGCTGGAACGGCCACTTGGCCCCTACCCAGGCTGGACTCTGGTTTGGTGTCCGATGCCTTCCAGAGCCTGGGACTGGACCCAAAGTGGGAAGCAGGCAGTCTCAGGCTTCCTCCCTCAGTGCCAATGCAGCAAGCATATGGGGTGTGGGTAATGTGCAGGCTAGACAGATGGAGGGGGCAGGCTCCCGAGACCTCGAGTGACCATCTGGGGCATCACTGCAGGGGGCAGGATGGGCTCCTGACAAAGCTGAGCTGGCCACTACATTCTGGCTGCCGCCTCCCTGCAACACGCAGGCCCAGGCAGAGCTCTCTGGAGGGCAGCAAAATGCACCCACCTCCCAGAGGATCCATGCCCGTTCCCTTGCACCAAGGGGGCTCCTCCACCTGCCCGGCCACCTTAATCTTGCCCACAGAGGGTGGGGGGTGGGGGCCACTAGCCAAGCTCAGAGGGGTTGTATTTCAGCTGGCTGCAGGGCCACTGTCCCCTCCCTGTCTCCTTCCCCCTCCCCCTTGTGCCCTTGGAACTGACTCCAGGGAAAGGATCCTTGGGATGCAGCCTGGGAAGCATCGCTAGCCAGCAGACCTTTGGGGGTCCTTCTCGGAGGCCCTGCCACAGTGCAGAGCCTGGGCTCCCACTGCAGCCGCGCTAAGGGCCAGCGACAGAACCCTGGAAGGCCACAGATCCCCTCTGCCCTGCGACCACACAGTCCAGCCCTGTGTTAGCTGGTCACAGTGGCTTGCAGCTGAGTGACCGATTTCCAGCCTCTTGGAGACCAGGGGACCCTGCGCGGCCTCCCTCACCGTTTTGAGCTCCAGCTCCTGGAGGGGGCTGAGTAAGCAGGAGATCACAATGAATGGAGGCCAAGAGCGAGTCCACTTTAGCAAAGTGAATGCACAGGGCAGAAGCTTGGAGGTGGCAGATGTGGCGGTGCCGGCCCGAGAAGCAAGCAGGCAGCGGAGGCAGACCCCGGGCCGACCGCGGCCGGGTTTGTGCCAGCAGGCACCTAGAAACAAGCCTGGGACAGGTGTAACGGAGAGGGGGATCGTGGCCCGCGGGGAGGCGCAGTCAGGGGTCGCGCCCCGACTCTGCCATCCTCGCCCACAGAATCTTCATCCCCAAGAAGCACCGGGCGCGCTTCGACGAGGTGGTGTCGCAGGGCCTACTGGGCAAGCTGTGCCGCGCGCGCAGGGCGCAGGGCGCACAGCGGCTTCGCCGGAGCCGCAGCGAAGAGCGGCCCGAGCGCCTCCTGGTGTCCACGCGCGCCAGCGCCGCCCCGCGCCGCCCGGACGAGCCGCCCCCACGCAAAGCCGCCTCGCTGGTGGGCGGCCGCGCCGGCTCCGGGGGCGCGCGCAGGTACCCGAGGCGCGTGGGCACCGGCCGTGGACGCCTCCCCATCCATGGCTCGGGGGATGGAGACCTGGGTTGGGGGGTGGCTGGGGAGGTTAATGGGAGCGGGACGCGGGAGGGCTCCATGCTCTGCGTCTCCAGCAGAGCAGGACCCGGTTCCTGCCTTCACCCCGCCCTTATCTCTCCCCAGGACAGTCCGAGTCTACAAGGGCAACAAGAGCTTTGGCTTCACGCTGCGCGGCCATGGGCCTGTCTGGATCGAGTCTGTCCTGCCTGGTGAGGGGTGGGCAGGGTTGTCTCCATTGATTCTGCCCACGTGGGTGGCTCAGGCCGGTAGATCCAAATTCTCTCCTCCAAGGTCTTTCCTGTGTCGCCACAGAGGGCCAGAGGTATTGATCAGGACACGGGGCAGCCAGACAGAGTGGGTGCTTGCCCAGGCTATGCCACAACCAGACTCAGAGAGATATCAGGGCCTCAGTACCTCTGCCCACCCCACCCACCCCTACCTGGACCCCTTTTCTCTTCCCACCTGCTCTGGACTCCTGGGACTTGAGCCTTCCCAGTGCAGTGGTCTCTCCAGCGAGGTCCGGAATGGGCTGTGTGCTCTGTTCCGTCGTGGACAGTCTCAGCAGGGCTACTGAGGTGGACTCTGCCTCCGTGTGACCACCCCTCGGGGCTGGGCCACTTGCTCTGCCCTGCACCCACCCCCTCCCAGCAAGAAGCCCCTGGTGACACAGCCCCACCTGCACCCCTGTTGATGCTGCCCCTTCCTGCACCTCCACATCTCACACCTTCTGTGAATCTTGGGATCTTTCCGGAAGTGAATCCTGGGACCCGGCTCGTGCCGGTTCTCAACGGACCCAGGCATCGCTAAGCAGTTGACCCCAGGGTGCAGGGAGGGAGGCCCACGGCTGCTCGGAGGAGGGCTTCCTCTAGAAACCGGCTAATCCCAGTCTCCCTGCCTCTCCCACGTGCGGGTGGAGACACCTGGTGTTGGGCTTTGCCAAAATCCACAGGTGCTGTTCTCCCCAGCCAGGTGACTGCCTGCTTTTCCTGCCATAGGAAACATGGGAAAGGCTGTGCCAAGTCAAGGACCTGGGGTCTCCTGAGCCCCTAGCCCATTGACCACTGATCCCCTGGGACAGCCCCTCTGGCCGTCCTCCTCCTCCAAGTGGAAGTCCAGGCAGGCTGGGTTCAACTAATCCTCACCCTCTCCCCCCTTTCCATCCCAGGGAAAGGACTCCTTCCCCTACCCCATCTCACCTTTACCAGGAAGTCTCCGCTGATTGTCTCCCACCCCCCCTCACCTCAGCTTGCCAGCCCTGCCTTCCAGGTGCTAGGTCCGACACTCAGGGCCATCAAGGGAGAAAGTGCCAGCTGAGGCTAATGAGCCAAGGAGACCACTGCCATTGGAAACACAGTTTGTCACTCACAGGTCCCAAGGGGAGGAAGGAAGTGGGCCATACTGCGGAGGACTATGGAGGGTAGGGTTCCCTGGGGTGGGTCTGGGGACAAGACCCCAGGGCAGGGGGAGTGAGAGGAAGCACAGGCTACAGCCTTCCTTGGGGTTTTCACCAGCAGCAGTGGGCGGGGCGGGGCAGGGCAAGCGGGCTAAACCAGCTCAGGATTGGGTGTTGGAATAATTGCAGCGACTCCAGGGCAGAGGGACTGGGGTGAGTAGGGCAGGCGGCCACAGTGAAGCCCCCACCGAGGGGGTACTCGGAGGCACGGGCTCAGAAAGGGTAGGGTCGGCTTGCATGCTAAAGGCACACTTGCTAAAGTCCTTTTTGGGTGGAGTCCATCTCGCCAGGCCCCAAGATGTCAAAGCATCAGGAAATAAAAAAAATTTTGACTAATGCACCAGGTTTCCCCAGCCTGAGGGCGGAGCGTCGCTTGCGTGCACCCAGACGTGAGGCACCAAGACCAGAGCTGCAGCGGGGGCCCTTCAGCAGCCCAGGGCCTGACCCCCTCCCTCTGGGGGGGGTCACTGTGTCCTGAGCCCACATGGCCATCTGCGGACCCGGACTGCACCCTCCTCCACCACCCAGCGTGTCTCTGAGCCTCTGCTGCTGGCCCGTAAAACAGGAGAGCGGCATCTGGCCGCCAGCGCCAGGCCCTGCCCCGCTGACTCCCGCGTCCTCTCTTCTGGCTTCCAGGCAGCCCGGCTGACAATGCTGCCCTCAAGTCGGGCGACCGGATCCTGTTCCTCAACGGACTGGACATGAGGTCAGGGGCCTCTGGGGACCATGCCCCTCCCCCCGACCACGATGACACCTGCCTCTTGGGACATCCGGGCCCTGGTCCCGATCTCTAACCAGTTGGTGCCCGGGCCCTGTCGCTCTTCCCATGGAAACTCTCAAGTCCATTCCCCCCACCCAACTCGGGACCTCAGTTCCTCCTTCCAGCCAGGGGGAATTCCCCAACTCCATGCTGGGGACACCGCGTTGCAGGGACCCCCTGTGTGTGGCGGTGGCAGGGCCACAGCTCCTTCAGCCAGGAAGGTAAAGGCCCAGGCGGTGAACTAAGCTGGTCCGAGGCCTGGGGCTTTTACCGTGCAAGATTCCAAACGGGAGAGGCAGGCCCTGGCCAGTCGTGGCCTCTCCAGGCAGGCCCGGAAGGTCTGACCGGCAGCCGTGCACGTGGCTGACCCCAGTGTGGCCCTCCTGGGCCATCTCTGCTTGGCAGGAACTGCTCACATGACAAGGTGGTGTCCATGCTGCAGGGCAGTGGCGCCATGCCCACGCTGGTGGTGGAAGAGGGGCTCGTCCCGTTCGCCAGCGGTGAGACCCCCTCCCCCAACACTGCCACTGTGGGGACCCCCAGAGTGCAGAGGACTCTGCAGCTTCCCTCCCCAGGGCTGCCCCCTGGTGGGGCTGGAACCCCAAGGGGACCCCACCCAGGGCTCTCGCTCCCACCCCAACCCCAGCTGCCCGGCAGACACACCCTCCACACACCTGACCTGTGCCTCTCCTGCCTGTGGTCCCGGCAGACTCTGATTCACTGGATTCGCCCAACCCATCGTCAGCGCTCACCTCCCTGCAGTGGGTGGCCGAGATCCTGCCGTCCAGCATCCGGGTCCAAGGGAGGACCTTCAGCCAGCAGCTGGAACACCTGCTCACGCCACCCGAGCGCTATGGCGTCTGCCGGGCCCTGGAGAGCTTCTTCCAGCACAGGTGGCTGGGCCGGAGCAGGGGTGGGGCCCGTCTGGGGTGGACTCCAGGTCCTGCCTGTATGCACCCTGCTGGGCTCCGTCTCCTGGGGGAGTCTCCTAGAAGGAAGCACCTGCGGGGCGGGGGGTGCTCCAGGGTTGCATTGCCCTGGAGCAAGCCCTGCCTCTGACACCCAGCCACGTGGCCTCTGTGAAGTGAGGCCTGTCCTTGGCCAGGGCTCTCCCCGAGAGCCACGCCTGTGGGCAGCGTTACGGGGTTGGGGTTGGGGGTCTTTTCTCCTGGACCTGAACTGCAGCAGGGTGCATCTGTGGCTCACCTCACTCTGGGGGACCATTGTTACGATCTGTGTCAAGCCCCTCACTGCTTCATTCCCTTTTCTTTAAATCCTTTTATTTTCTTTAAAGATGCATTTATTTAAAATGCAGAACATCAGAGAGGGAGACGGAGGTCTTCCCCTCACTGGTTTGCTCCACCCCCCAAATAGCTACAGCACCCAAATGGCTGGGCCAGGCTGAAGCGGGGAGCCAGGAACCCCATCACCCCAGGCGCAGCATCAGGGAGCTGGATCTGAAGTGGAGCAGCCAGAACTCCAGCCAGCACCGATGGCTTAACTCGCTGCGCCACAGCGCCACCCCGAGGCAGTTTTATTAAGATGCCACTCACTTGCCCCGCAGTTGAGCCACTTAAGTGTACAGTTGGGTGTTTAGTATGATCCTGCGTTGCCGACAACAGGCACGTGTCCTGAGAAACCCGTCAGGCATCTCCTCCAGTGTGAACGTCACCGAGTGCACGCACACAAGCTGGCACCGGTGGGGCCCTTCCTTGGCTGGGACGTCCCGACACGGCCGCGTCACTCCTAGGTACAGGCGTCACTGCCGCCGGCTGTAGAACTTCCATCAGGCCGGAAGGAAACCCTGAACCCGGTCCCGTCGTCCTCCGCCCCGACCCTGGGCAGCCAGCGTCTGTGGTCTCTGCAGACTCTGCACTCTCACGAGTGGGCGCTCACGTCTGGCTTCTTGCACTGAGCTTGAAACTGTCGCGCTCCAAGTGAGTTGGCCAGTGCTCCTGGCTGCTGCCTGTGGCTGAACACTCCCCCATCGCGTGGGCGTGTCTCATTGTGTTCTTGCACCTCTGTCTGGAGACAGATACATGCGTCGTGTCTGCCGGTCACTCCCTATGAGCTCCACCGGCTGGGGCCGTGGCTGCCCAGGATGGGCATTCTTTGGTTTGCAGGTGTTCTCGGAAAGTGGGCGCTGCTGTGTAGTTCGACGTCTTTTTCTTTTGCATCGTGGTTGAGTTTTGGGGGTTTTGTTTTTTGTTTTTGTTTTGTTTTGTTTTTCACAGGCAGAGTGGACAGTGAGAGAGAGAGAGACAGAAAGGTCTTCCTTTGCTGTTGGTTCACCCTCCAATGGCCGCCGCAGCCGGCGCACTGCGGCTGGCGTACCACACTGATCCGAAGGCAGGAGCCAGGTGCTTCTCCTGGTCTCCCATGGGGTGCAGGGCCCAAGCACCTGGGCCATCCTCCACTGCACTCCCAGGCCACAGCAGAGAGCTGGCCTGGAACAGGGGCAACTGGGACAGAATCCAGCGCCCCAACCGGGACTAGAACCCGGTGTGCCGGTGCCGCAAGGCGGAGGATTAGCCTGTTGAGCCGCGGCGCCGGCCGACAAGGTACCTTTTTACGCCCTCCATCTCTTTCTGCTTTATTGGGCGTCTTGTTCCTGCTGATTTGCATGAGTCCCTCGTGCCTTTTAGACACCAGTTCCCCCTTGGTTTTGGAAACATCTTCCCGTTTGTTGTTTCTCTTCCTACTTCTGCAGTAGCCAATCTTCACATTCCCAAGTTGTTCTTCTGTGAACAGATGTCTTTAATTTTGTATTATCAAGCTCACCACATTCTTGGTCTTGCTCTTTTGCCTTTTGAAGTTTTATGAAGACTTTGCTTTCTAGGTCCTTTTAAAGATTTATTTATTTGGAAGTTAGAGAGAGAGAGAGAGAGAGAGAGAGAGAGAGAGAGCGCACTCTTCCATCTGCTGCTTCACTCCCCAGGTGACCGTAACAGCCAGAGCTGGGCCAGGCTGAAGCCAGGAGCCAGGCGCTTCTTCCAGGTTTCCTGCATGGGTGCAGGGGCTGTAACCCTTGAGCCATCTTCCACTGCTTTCTCAGGCACATTAGCAGGGAGCTGGATCAGAAGTGGAGCAGCCAGAACATGAACCAGTGCCCATATGGGACACTGGAGCTTCAGGCAGTGGTTTAACCCGCCACACCACAACACCAGGCCCAGTTCTCCTAATTTTATAATGTTACCTGTCATACTTGAGTCTTCTTCCCACCCAGAGTTCACCTTGATGAGTGGTTTTATATAAGGACCCGGCTTTATCTTTTCCATATACTGCAGTCAGCAAACTGTTTTTAAGAGACAAACATTTCTGTGCAGTAGATGCTGTTTAAGACCTGTTTTATTTATTTGAAAGGCAGAGTGACACAGAGTGAGAAACAGTGGGGGTAGGGGGAGAGATAGTCCATCCACTGGTTCACTCCCCAAAGGGCTGCAACAGCCAGATCTGGGCTGGGCTGGGCTGAAGCCAGGAGCCAGGAACCCCATCTGGGTCTCCCACATGGGGGCAGAGTCCCAAGCACTTGGGCCATTTTCTGCTGCCTTCCCAGGTGCATTGGCAGGAAGCTGGATTGGAAGCAGAGCAGCTGGGACTTGAATCGGCACTTCCATATGAGATGCCGGTGTTGTAAGCGATGGCTTAGCTTGCTGTGTCACCACTCCAGCCCAGTAGGTGGTATTTTGATCCCCATTCTATAGGTGGGCACAGAGAAGTTAAGTAAGCTGAGAAAGGACACTCAGCCGCTCAGTGGCAGAGCCAGGATTTGAATCTTGCCGACCTGGCCCCAGAGCCCACCTTCCTGCCTGCTGCTCCTTCTCTGGCTGAATTCTGTGGCCTGGAAGGGTCGCCCTGGTCTCCACCCCACCCTACCCGCTGCGGTGAGCCCCTGGATAATGAACCCCTTTGTCCTGCACCCTCCCCCAGGAACATCGACACCCTCATTGTGGACGTCTATCCCGTGCTGGACACGCCTGCCAAGCAGGTGCTGTGGCAGTTCATCTACCAGCTGCTGACCTATGAGGAACAGGAGCTCTGCCAGGAGAAAATCGAGTGCTTCCTCGGCTACACGGCCATGACGGGTAAGCTGCCCCACCCACCTGGTGCACAGCCAGACACCTGTCCCCACCCAGGAGTCCTTACAGGCAGCTGTGCTCTCCCACCCGACTGCCTGCTCTCAGGCTCCTCACGCACAGAATGGGAGTGACCTCAGCAGCACTGCTTTGCATCCTGGGAAGTGTGCGTCACGGGCTGAGAAGTGTGTGTGTGGTTTGTTTTACAGATGCACCAGCACATGCCGCCTGGGTCACGAGCCCTTGGCCAGGGGGCACCTGGCTGGTGGGCTCCCAGCACATGTGCCTGAACACACACACATGCGCGTGCACCTGCTGCACACACTCACAGCTTGCCGGGCCGTGAGCCTCCCACCTGCCCACAGCACCCTGCACTGTTAAGCCAGGTGGAGGAAGTGTGTCAGACCCTGTGAATTTGCCCTGTTCGGGGCTCTTTGCACCTGCTTTGACAGTCCCTGCAGGCCCCGCTATATGCTGGCCCTGGGGGCCCATGAGCCCTAGTCCTGGGGGCCCACAGTTTTCTGGGGAGAGAGACAAGTGTCTTGGCAAGAAGCTCAGGGACTGGGCTGGGCAGCACACACCCTACACAGCTGTCCAGGCCAGGCCCTTCCCTGTTGTCCCCTAAGTCCCTTTGGACAGCAGTGATGAGCCTGGTCCCAGCATGGGACATTGAGCCCCTAGAAAGCAAGGGGCCCTAGACTCTTACCATGGGAAGAACCCTTTGGATCGGATTTTGTCCCTCCTCTGGCCAGGCCGGGGGGCTCCTCCTGTGTCCTGGTGCCTGGTTTCCCTGGCCTGGGGCCCACTTCTTGGTCCAGGCGACCTCTGCCCTCATTGGAGGCTCCTTGTCTGGCTGAGAGGGTGGGAGGCCACCATCTCACCTGCATGTCCCACAGCAGAGTCAGAGCCGGAGCCAGAGCCGGAGCTGGAGCCAGAGCCGGTGCCCGAGCCCCAGCCACGGAGCTCCCTGAGGGCCTCCTCCGTGTGCCGCCGGAGCCTCCGGTCCCAGGGCCTGGAGACCAGCCTCAGCTGCGGTATGGCCCCCGATGGAAAGGCTGGGGTGGGTAGGTGAGAGAGGACCTCCAGGGCTCAGTTTTCCCATCTGCAAAAGGGGTGTGCAGTGCTGAGACTTGACAGAGAATGAGGGCAGGCAAGACTGAGCATGGCCATCCTGGGTCCGCGGGGCCTGTGGGATCCAGGCCAGGGCCCAGGCCTCACGGCTCAGGTGTGGTAAGGAGACCCCTAGGGCAGGCGCGGCCGCCCCTGATTGATTCCTGATTCCTCAGCAGGTCCCAGCGAGTGCGCTGAGATGCCGCTTCCTCTGATCCCAGGAGAGCGCCAGGCCGGCGACGGCACATCCCTCCCCGAGACCCCCAACCCCAAGATGGTGAGGCTTGCCCTGCCCCCCAGGTGGGATGCGCAGGGATGGGGGTGCCCATAGCTGAGGGGGCCCAGGAGGCCCCAGGCCAAGGCGCCCCCGTGGCTGCTGCTGGCTGGCTGAAGCCACGTTAGGGCCACGCGGGAGACACAGGCGTGGGCTGCACTCCCCATGCCCCGTCCCCACAGATGTCGGCCGTCTACGCGGAGCTCGAGTCGCGGCTGAGCAGCAGCTTCAAGGGGAAGATGGGGTCGACATCCAAATCCCTGGGCTCCCCGCCAGGCCCCAGCCCAGCAGACACGGCAGGTAGGGCTTGCCAGCCCCGGTCCCCGGAGGCACTGTCCTCCTGCCTGGTCGTCCCTGTGGTCCACACACCTGGGAAACGTCCCCGAGGCAGAGGGAACCCCTCCCCCAGAGGCCTCCCTGCACGGGTCAGGGTTGTCCACGTGGTCAGGGTCATCCCGGCCCCTCCCATGTCACTTGTATCCCTCACCCCAGCCATGGAAGTCCCGGCGTTAGCAACGCGCCCTTGGACAAACTACAGCGTGCATGTGGGTTGCTGTGTGGGAGGGAGTCAGAGGACAAGAGCCCTGTGTGCCCAGGGCATGCCGGGCATCGGAGGGGCCACCTGACCCTTGTCTGGAGCCCGGAGAAGGCCCCTCGGCCCTTTGAATGGCGTGCAGCTGGGCTGGGGTGTCTGTTTCAAGGCGAACTGAGGTCCAGCCCGTCCAGGGGCTAAGTCGGGTCTCCCTCAAGTGCTCTGACCTTTGACCTCGCGCTGGGAAAAGCCTGGGAGGCAGAGTCACCCAGACTGGGCAAAGGGGAGTGCCTAGGGCCACAGCACTGACCTGCCCCGGGCCCTCCCCTCCAGCCTGCACCTGTGACCTGGGTGCAGGCTGAACAGGGGTCCTCACGCTCCATCCCCCACCCCAGGGCCCAGGACCCTGTCCAGCGTCTCCTGGCCCAGCGAGCGGCTGCTGCCCTCCCCCTGCTACTACCCGCTGTGCTCAGGGGACCCGGGCTCCCCCAGCAGCTCCGAGTCCCACCCCTACGCCAGCCTGGACAGCAGCAGGGCGCCCTCCCCACAGCCAGGGCCCGTCCACCCCGACAGCCCCCCCAGCCCGGACCCTGCCCGCCCGCCCAGCCGCAGGAAGCGCTTCACCTTCTCGCGCCCGATGCGAAGCCGGGACACTGACCGCTTCCTGGATGCGCTGAGTGAGCAGCTGGGCCCCCGCGTCACCATCGTGGAGGACTTTCTGACGCCCGAGAACGACTATGAGGAGGTGGGCGTGCCAGCAACGGGGTGGGGGGGAAGGGGCAGTGGTGGACATGGAGCCCGGCGGGGAACCAAGTCCCCAGCTCCTGCAGGGGGCCCAGTGACCTCGGGGTCTGCCCCAGGCTACCCCATCCTGTCCCTGGCCCCAGGCTATCCCATTTACCCTCATTACCCCATCCGTGTCCCAGGCTACCTCACCCACAGTCTCAGGGTAAACCACCAGACCCTTGTGTTCCTCTACCCAGCTTATCCCACCGCGTGCTGAGGTTACCCCGCACGCCTGGTCTGTCCTGGGCTATCCCACGCTCCCCACCCTCGGCCCACGTTTCATACACGTGCACCTGCTGTTGTCCATCTGGGCCCAGCCCCGCCCTCCCCTCCCCTGCTCTCCCCCCACCAGATGAGCTTCCATGACGACCAGGGCAGCTTTGCCACCAACGAGCGGAGCAGCGGGAGCGACTGCGTGAGCAGCAGCGAGGAGGGCAGCTCCCTGACGTACTCCTCTATCTCCGACCACATACCCCCGCCCCCACTCAGCCCCCCACCCCCGCCACCCCTGCCCTTCCACGACCCCAAGCCCAGCGCCCGCTCCTCTGCCGGTCCCCGGGGTCCCAGCCAGGTGCTGCCCAAGCCCCTAGCCCAGCTCAGCCACCCTGTCCCACCGCCGCCTCCACCGCCCCTGCCCCCGCCCGTGCCCTGTGCGCCCCCCATGCTGTCCCGGGGCCTGGGCCACCGGCGCAGCGAGACCAGCCACATGAGCGTCAAACGCTTGCGGTGGGAGCAGGTGGAGAACTCGGAAGGCACCATCTGGGGTCAGGTACGTGAGCCGGGCCCGCTGGGGCCTTGCACCAGGGGAGGGCGGCTCAGGCGTTGAAGGCCTGAGCCATCCCCACAGTGTTCCTGGGACCAGCCCAAGGACACATGCCCCTGGTGGTTGACGCAGGCATTGAAGCCAATCCAGGTCCCTAAGCCAGACACCTGGGGACGCCTGAAATGCCATTACACTTTCGGTTCTCCTGGGTCCTTAAAAGGGGCGGCGGTCCACACTGCTGCCCGCCGGCCTCCACCATCACTGCAGCGCTCGGATGTCCTCCCGACACTGCCAGCATCTACCAAACACCCCCGGTGATGGGGGACTCGCCACCTGCCAAGGCCTCCCTCCCCTCACTGGGCGATTTTCACCACCGTCCCCTGTGTGGCTCTGAGCTCATCTCCCAGAGCTCCCCCGTCCAGGCATCCTCTGCCAGCCACAGGCCCGCCAACCCCTGTTCTTGAGGTCGTTCTAGAATGTGCCTTCTGGCCACAATCCACGTCATTGCCAAAGAGCAGGCCCCACCTGGAACCCCAGCCAGTGGGGCTAGACTGGTGCGGAGCGGTGAGCAGGATCGTTGCTTCCTTTGACCTGACACCAGACTCCGGCCTGGGCTCCCTCTGGCTTCCGGAGCTGCCCCCTTCCTGGGGCCCGTGCCCGCCATCACCCTGAAGCCCAGTCTCTCCATATTCTTGGAACTCACAGCTTGCTGTCACACAGAGCCATGCTTGTCATGCCTCCCCGTGGCCGTCTCCTGGGTCCTGGTCCTGTGTCCTGCCCTCCCAGCCAGGACGGCGAGCTCCCCTGTCCCCAGGGAACCTGTCCATGTTGCTGATAAATATGCCCAGTAGTATAGGACCACCAACAGGGACCTCCCGAGTCCCCTGGAGACCACACACCTCCCGGCTTTAGATGGTTCCTGAAGGTGGACACAGGGAAGCAGGTCACATACCTGCCTAAGTCCACGCCAGCTGTTCGCGCCCCACAGCTGAGATTTCATTCTCTGCGGGTCTCCCTTTTAGAATGGCCCCTTGGCAGCTGCCTGGCCCTCACTCCGTGCCCGAACCCCAGACTGCACCTCTCATCTAGACCATGTGTTACAGCCAGCTGTCCAGGCCCTGGCTTAGGACAGCTGCTTCTGTCCCCCCCCCCCCCCGTCCGCACCAGTTTGCCAGTGAACTCACTCACTCCCTGCAAAGGAGACCTGAAAAAACAGGGCCAGACCCCTCAGCCGCCACCTTCAGCCCCTTTAGCTCGGTGGCTGCCGCCCACCTCACCAGCTCCTGCACTGACAGAGATCCAAGCACGCCAGGAGTGCAGATCTCAAGAGGAGCCAGCTCCCCACCCCATCTTCCGGAGCCTGTCCTGGGCTTCTCCCGGGGCCTGGTGGGAGATCTCCCTCCAGGAGCCCCCAGGGTGGCTCTCGATGCGGGGGGGGGGGGGGGGGCGGGAGCACAGGTGTGGTGGAGGAAGCCAGCCCAGCTGCTGCTGTTCCTCCCACCCTGAGCTCCCTACCCTGTCCCACAGCTGGGGGAGGACTCCGACTACGATAAGCTGAGCGACATGGTGAAATACCTCGACCTGGAGCTCCACTTTGGCACCCAGAAGCCTGCCAGTGAGTGTCCTGGTGGCCGGGGGCGGGGGAACCCCGGACACTGCGCCGCCTGCGGCATCTGCGAGAGTACTCTGACGGCCGTTCACCCACTGTGTCGTCAGACCTTGAACCCCTGAGTCGCTCAGTTTCTCGGAGCTTCATCTCAAAAGGGAGACTATTAAGAACAGCTGGCGGCCGACGCTGTGCCTCACTAGGCTAATCCTCCACCTGCAGCGCCGGCACACCGGGTTCTAGTCCCGGTTGCTCCTCTTCCAGGCCAGCTCTCTGCTGTGGCCCGGGAGTGCAGTGGAGGATGGCCCAAGTGCTTGGGCCCTGCACCCGCATGGGAGACCAGGAGAAGCACCTGGCTCCTGGCTTCGGATCAGCATGATGCGCCGGCCGCAGCACGCCGGCTACGGTGGCCATTGGAGGGTGAACCAACGGCAAAAAGGAAGACCTCTTTGTCTCTCTCTATCCACTCTGTCAAAAAAAAAAAAACAAAAAACAGCTGGCATGGATTGCGTGCTGACCAAATGCCAGGCACTCTTCTAAGTTAATCCCGTGACAAACTGTGAGGTTACCTCCTCCTCCTAAGGAGGAAACACAGGAAACACTACGTGACTTGTGCCAAGTCACACAGCCAGGATAGAGTGGGAGGACTGAGGGCCAGGCCCCCTCTCTCCTCGGCCTGGAGGGGAAAGGCCTTGCCCGTTCGGGAATCAGCTGAAAGGTGGAGAGCTGGTTGATTCTCTCCTGCCAGCCCCATCCCGAGAGCCCAGAAGAGAGAGGGCATGGTCGTGGGGGGATGGGCACTCACCACCCACGCTGTGTTCCACTGCACCCGAGTGTCCCTGAGTGGAAGGGTGAGGAATGAGGGGCAGCCTCCCCCCCAGAGCTGATGCAGCCCAGGCCGTGCTGGGGGCTGGGGGCTGGGGGGTGGTCTTGGTGGATGGCAGCGGCTGCACCATTCCTGGGCTGGTCCAGGGCACACCAAGCCCAGCCTCCCCTTTGCAACCGTCCAGTTTCCTTTCCAGAGCCTGTGCCGGGGCCCGAGCCCTTCAGGAAGAAGGAGGTGGTAGAGATCCTGTCCCACAAGAAGGCCTACAACACCTGTAAGTGTTGGCATCAGGCACCCCCACGGTCGTAGGGGTGGCACAGCGGCACTCACTATGGGTGGCAGTGCCACGGCCCAGCCTGGGTAAGGTTAGGCTTGGGGCTGGGACCCCTGTCACCTGGCTGCGCAGAGTCCCGACTGGGCTCAGGCATCGGCCTTGGCTGCACCTCCGTCGGCCCCACCTCCCCTGTAAACCCCCTCCCCAGTTCCGGCTTCCAGCACCATCCTCCGCAGGCCCCGCCCTCGCCCTGGTCCCCGCCCCTCACCCCGCCCCTCGCGGCCCCGCCCACAGCCATCCTCCTGGCGCACCTGAAGCTGAGCCCGGCCGAGCTGCGGCAGGTGCTCATGAGCATGGAGCCCCGGCGGCTGGAGCCGGCGCACCTGGCGCAGCTGCTGCTCTTCGCGCCGGACGCCGACGAGGAGCAGCGCTACCAGGCCTTCCGCGAGGCGCCCGGCCGCCTCAGCGAGCCCGACCAGTTCGTCCTGCAGGTGCTCCCGCTCGCGCCCCCGCTTTAGCGCGCGCCCTGGGCCGGGCTCCCACCGGGATCCGTGGGAGAGGGGGCGAGGGCGCCCCCTGCTAGGAGCCGTGCTAGGCTTTCTCAAGGGCGTCCGTGACCCCAGCCCCGTCCCAGACGGCGCGGAGGCCCCTGGCGGGCGCTGCGTGACTGCGAACCCCGCCCTCGCGGCAGATGCTGTCGGTTCCCGAGTACAAGACCCGCCTGCGCAGCCTCCACTTCCAGGCTACGCTGCAAGAGAAGACCGAGGAGATCCGAGGCAGCCTGGAGTGCCTGCGCCAGGCCTCCCTGGAGCTCAGGAACAGCCGGAAGCTCGCCAAGATCCTGGAGGTCAGGGGGCAGCCCAGCCCTGGCCCCCTAGCCTGGCGGGCGGGGGCGGGGCTAGGACTTAGCAGGACCCGCCCCCTTCCTCTCCCCAGTTTGTGCTGGCCATGGGCAACTATCTCAACGATGGCCAGCCCAGGACCAACAAGACCACGGGCTTCAAGATCAACTTTCTGACCGAGGTGAGGGGCCCGCCAGTCCCCGGCGAGGGATGGATTAGGCCAGGCGTGACTGCAGCGGAGGGCGGGGGCGGGGCGGGGGGGCGGGACTTGGAACGGGACGGCCCAGTTGGGGCTAGGCCAGGCCGGGGGAGCCAGATGGGGCGCTTACGTTGGGGCGGGGGTGTCACTCGCAGCTGAACTCCACCAAGACCGCGGACGGGAAGTCCACCTTCCTGCACATCCTTGCCAAATCGCTGAGCCAGCACTTCCCAGAGCTCCTGGGCTTCGCTCAGGACCTGCCCACTGTGCCCCTGGCTGCCAAAGGTAGGCGGGAGGGGGATGTGGAGGCAGAGGCTGTGCTGGGCTGGGGTGGGGGGAGAGAGGGGAGGTGCTGGGCTGGGGGGGTAGGTGCTGGGCTGGGGGTGGAGGGGAGGCAGAGGCTGTGCTGGGCTGGGGGAGGTGGGGGCTGTGGAGGCAGAGGCTGTGCTGGGCTGGAGAGGAGGGGGAGGAGGGGCTGGGCAGCCTGGGCTGGATGGGCGGGGCCTTGTGAGGCTCCTTTCCCCTTCTCTGCAGTAAACCAGCGGGCCCTAACCAGCGACCTGGCTGACCTTCATGGCACCATCAGTGAGATCCAGGACGCCTGCCAGACCATGTCCCCCTCCAGCGAGGACAAGTTTGCTGTGGTCATGGCCGTATCCTCTGACGGACACCCGGCTGCACCTGGGGGGTGGGATGGTGGGGTTTCACCCTGGTCCCTTTGAATCCGAGACGTAGGCCAGCTCTGTGTGACCTAGAATGGGGCTCCTTAAGAGTTTCCCAAAGCCGCTGCCTTGTCCCCATCCGTCCCTGTAGGCGTTGGAGCCCAGACGGAAGTCATATGGCGCAGGGAGGGGCCGCTGAGGCCCGACCAGCCAGAGGCAGTCAGGAGAGGGGAGCATTTCCAGGGAGCCCCCTGCGGGGCCTCCCCAGAGCAGAAGACGGATCTGGGGGGGATGGTGGGAGGGCAGAGCGGGTGGCAGCTCTCCGTGCCCCTGCTCTGTGGCCCCTGCCCTCCCTGGCACTGCCCCTGTCGTGTGTCCTGGTCCCGGAGCGTGGTCGGGGTGAGTGCCCAGGTTAGGAACGTGGCGTCAGATCCTGCTTTCCTGGGAGGTGGGAGACCCGAGGAGGCTGGCCAGCCCGTGCCTCGCCGGGCGGGCATCCCTGAGCCCGTGGCAAGCGCTCCTCACCGCTGCTGCTGCCTTGAACCATCTGACACCGAGATGCATTGTGGGTGTGGAAGCTGGGGCTGCTCAGGAGGGAGTCAGCTTCCCTCGGTGCAGGGGGTGGGCCCAGGTACCTGCCTGTGTCCTTGGCTTGCGGAATCCCAGGGCAGTGGGGATGGGTGGCTGTTTCTGGGCAGTCTCACTGCTGGAAGGCAGCCCAGCAGACAGCCCCAGGCCCAAGTCCTGACTCGGCTGTTCATCAGCTGAGTGCCTGTAGGCAAGTTGCTTCCCCACCCTGAGCCCTAGAGAAGCTGAGGATCCCCACCCCAGCGGGGGGTTGGGCTGGGGTGGCGGGGTTGTCGTGACTGTTAACTGATGGCCGTGCGCCTGAGTCCATCCCATGGCCCTGTGTGACACTGGGCTATGTGTGCTGCAGTCTTACCTGTAAGGTGGGGCTGACCTGCCTCCTTGAGGTGTCTGGACATCAAGTACGAACGTGCGGCGAGCTTAGAGCGCAGCTGGGCACAGCCCGAGTCCCGGGCCACATTACGGTTCCTGGGCCTCTGCCGAAGACTCACCGGGGAACACCGGGAACACAGAGGGCACTTCCGGAGCAAACCTGAACTTCTGAACCATTTCAGACAGTGACAAAGGCAGAGGAGGTTCCGGAAGGGGCCACTACAGGTGGGTGACTTGGGGAAAAGGGGGCAGCGGCCTCTGAGAAGAGAGAGCCGCCCTGCCAGAAAGCAGAGAGTGAGGGTCTAAGGCTGCCAGCGACTGGGCCAGGTGCCAGGACGAGCGTGGTGGGCAGTGGGACAGGTGGGGGGAGGGGCGCCCAGCAGGCTGGCGGTTTCCTTGACCGAGACCCCTCAGTCCTTCCTGGAGACGGCCCAGCCAGTGCTCCGGGCGCTGGACGGGCTGCAGCACGAGGCCATGGAGGAGCTGGCCAAGGCGCTGGCCTTCTTCGGGGAAGACTCCAAAGCCACGACCTCCGAGGCGTTCTTTGGCATTTTTGCCGAGTTCATGAGCAAGTTCGAGGTGAGCCACGGTGGACGGGAGGGCTCCTCACAAGTGGTCAGGGCTGCAGGTCATACGAGAAGGTCCCCCGTGAGTGACTCTTCCCAAACTGATGGGAAGGGTGCGGAGGCTCCCGGATCCACTGACACCCCCTCCCCTGTGCTGCCCCCTCCCCAGCGAGCACTCAGCGACCTGCAGGCTGGAGACGGCCCGCGCAGCTCCGGGATGGTGTCTCCCTTGGCCTGGTGACAGCAGCCACGTTGCCCGCAGACTGAGTATGGAGGTGGACGCACGATGAGGCTGCGCCCAAGAGGGCAGCGTGGACGCGGAGAGGGAGGGGCCTCGGCACAGGGCCCAGCCGCTGCCCGCGTCTCCAGCTACCTCAGCCGCCAGGCTTGGCCGGCCTGGGCCCACCCTGGTCTGGCACAGCCTCCCTGAGTGGGAGCAGAGACCCTGGCAGCCCAGCCTGGCTTGTTCCTCACTCCCACCTCTCCCGGCTCTCTGGGGGCCCCCGGATGGTGCAGTGGACTGCCTGCCTGGGCCGTGGAACGCAGCACACCAAGCCAGCCTGAGGGCGCCTAGAGGTAGAGCAGAGCAAGCAGGTGGGTAGTGGTGATGTGCACAGGAGGAGAGGCCCGGGCAGGGCCTGCAGAATAGAAGTTTTAGCCCAGCAGACAAACTGAGAACCTGTTTAGAGGCGATGGCATCCCAGTCGGGGAAGCCGTGGTCAAGGTCAGAGCACAGGGAGCAGGGAGATGCCAAGCGGGATTTGGCGGCTGCCTGCGGGTTTCCCACCTGGGTGGCTGGTGGAACAGGTCTGGGGGCACAGGGCACAATCTGGGACATGTGTGGGCTCCCTAAGGCTGTGGCATGTGTGTGTGGGAGGGTGGTCGGCGACGGGGTTGAGCTGGACGCCAGGAGCAGCGGGAGCGGTGGGCAGGTGGGGTGTGGGATTTCTTCCGCCCTGTCTGCCTCCCTCAGTAGATTCCTGCATCGGGCGGCTTCCCTGGTTACCTCTCCCCTTAACTCTGTATCCCAGAGAAGGCCAAAGCGGGCTTTCAACCTGTGTCTTGGATTCCGTCTCTCCTGCTGCCATCAAATGACTGATGAGATCCCCGCAGTCTTAGGAACCCACCGGGTTCTTCCTGTTCTCTCCTTCTTCCCTGCCCCGTGGAGAAATGTCTAAAGGGGATATGGCTGGAGGAGTCTATTTCTCCCTGATGGCTCCAACTGCTTAGCTCCCACAGTTCCCCACGCCTGTGTGTCCCGAAAACACTTCAGAAGGTCCCTGAAGATCCCTGGATGAGATCTGAGATCCAGAGAGATTACCGACTCCAGCAGGCATGATCCCTGGGCCCCATGGGCCCATGTGGCAAAAGTCAGAAATGCATGTCCCCTCCGGGAGACCCAGCCTCATCCCTGGGGCACAGCTGGCCAAGCCAAGCACTGGCTAGGTTTTCTTCCTGCTGTGGCTTGTGTTGGCTAACTGTTCGCGCCAACAGTGCTATGTAGCAAACTGTCCCAACACTCAACGGCTTCAAGGGGCAGCCCCTTCTCTGCTCAGGAATCCATGGGTCACCAGACAGCTTGGGTCTGAGCTGGGCTCAGTCAACGCACTCACACACCTACAGTCAGCTGTGGGGCAGCCAGGCGGCCTTGCTAACCCTGTGGGCTCTCTCCCGTGTCGGGCCCTGGCTGGGAAGGCTGGAGTGACCTCCATGGTCCCTCCTCCTGCACCCCAGTGGCCTATTGTTTCCGTGATAAGAGACGGACATCCAAGAGAACAAACTTGGGGAGGTGCAGGGGGTCCCCTCACTTGGACTCGGAACTGCACACCATCCCTCCTGGCACATTCTGTCGTCAAAGCAAGCGACCAGGGTCGTATTTTAGGGGAAGGGAAACCAGCTGGATCCATTCTTTGGGGGAAAAAAATTATTTATTTATGTATTTGAAAGGCAGAGAGAGAGAGAGTGATCTCCCATCTATTGGCTCACTCCCCAACTGGCTGCAGTGGCCAGGGTTAGACCAGGACAGAGCCAGGAGCCTGGGGCTCCATCCAGGTCTCCCATGTGTGTAGCAGGGGTCCAAGCATTTGGGCCATGTCCCGCTGCTTTCCCAGGCACTTAAGCAGAGAGTTGGACCAGAAGTGGAGCAGCTGGGATTTGAACCAGCACTCCTATCGGATGCCAGTGTTGCAGGCGGCAGCTTAACCCGCTGCACCACAGCACTGGCCCCGTGCACCCGCTTTGATGAGAGAAGCTGCAGAATCACATTGCATAGGGCATAGACTCAGGGCGGCAGCAGAATCGGGGCTATTTTTGCAAGCAACTTGCGTGCTTGCCCAGACGCTCGGGTGTGCCTCTCAGCCAACTTAAAATCCCCTGGGACTCTGGTCCTGTGTGGAGCCAGCCAGCCTGGCTCCGCTCTCCCACCCCTGTGTGTCCTCCAGGTGACAGGCTTCTCTCTTACCTGTCACCCATGAGTTATCTGACTCCTCTGCGGATACTCAGACCCATGGGCAGCTGTCATTCGTGCCTGCCTAGCAGCCAGTCCACCCTTGTGCTGGGAAAAGGGTCCCTGTTCTTCCTTTGGGAAAGGCAGGCCCTCGAGCTGTGCTCGTAGGATAAGGAGCAGCCTGTAACTCCGCCTGCGTGGCTCAGAGAAAGGAGCTTCCCCTTTGGCTGGGATCGCTGGGTGGGAAGGGGGCGGAGCCTGGAGGGAGCAGCCGGAGCCACCACGTGGAGGGTGCCTGCCTGGGCTCAAAGCCAACACGGGAAAGAACCCAAGAAGGTCAGCGTTCTCGTCTCTGGGTCCCTGGATCCAACGGTGCCTGAAGTAGACCCCGGGACTTGTGAGTTTCCGAGCCAACAAGTCCCCCTTTCCACCTAGATGTCTGTTTAACTTCAATTCCTCGGCTTGGGCTGAACGGATTGGACTTCTGTCACTTGTAGCCCGTGGACAGATGCTTGTGGCTGCTCTGTGTTTTTGCACACGCTCCGTGAGCTCTCTCCATTCATAAACTCGTTCATCTGCACCTGTGACTGTCCGCTGTGTGCCAGGTGCAGTGCTGGTGTCAGACATCCTAGGGGTCAGTCTCTGACTTAACTGCGTATCGCGGTAGTGGTACCCCGGCAGCAGTGCAGAGTCCCGTACGTGAGCCAATGTGTGCGTCGCATCACCAACCCCCGCTTCCTCGCCACCTGACAAACTGAATGCAGGCGCTTACGTCCCAGGGACCTGCTGATCTCCCGATGCTGCTAAGGAAGTCCCATAGCCTGGCTATATGTATAGCACTTTCCCAATAACACCAGTTAACGTTTACTGCGTAGTGGGCTCCATGTTTCTGTAACGTATTTCATCCCCCCTCCCCTCGAGCTAGGTTTTGTTACTTCCTTTTTACAAATAAAAAGTCAGAAACGTAGGAAAACATCTGTGGAAATGGGGAGCCCAGCCTTTGAGTGGAAAATACCTTCAGTGTCCTGCTGAATACGATGGCTTCCGTTTCATTTTCCAACTTTGAGAGGCCGAGACAGACAACTCCCGTGTGCTGGTTCATGCCCCAGATGCTTGCCATGGCCAAGCTGAGGCCAAACCCAGGAACTGGGAACTCCAGGTGGGTGGCAGGAACCCGATTCCTTGAACCATCATCACCACTGCCTCCCGGGGTCTGCATTGCCAGGAGAGCTGGAGCCAGGAGCCGGCTCCGAACATCGACCCTCACTACTCTAACGTAGGATGCGGGCATCCCAACCAGCGTCTTGACCACCAGGCTCCGTGCTCACCTCTCACATACCTGCGCTCCAAGGCCATAGCTGCCAGCGGCTTTATGTGAAGCCCTTCCCTCTTCGCTGCCACCACCCAGGTGACTCCCAGCAACAGGGCCCTGTTGTCGGTTGTCAAGGATGTGATAGGCGTGGTCCCAAGGCCTGAGAGGAGGTGGGATGAGCTGACGCTTTGCAGAGAGGCTTCTATCAAGTGCACACACAACACACACACACACACATACATTTGTCCAAGTTTCTGTGCTGTTGCTCCAGCCCCACCCTGCGACCCTCGGGCCTCACTCACAGCTCCTCCAACTCAGAGCTAATTCTTCCTGTGTTAGACACCTGCCTCGCTGCACGCTCTGTCCCTCAGTGACCAGGGCTCCTTGCCCTTCCCCGTAAACACTCTGTCCAGCCCTCCCCTCTTCCGAGCCAAAGCATCAGCACTTGTGTCTCTTGGCTACCTCCGTGGCCCTGCTGGGTGTGCACTCAACTCTGGCTCAGCACAGCCTGCCGGTCTGTCTGTCACTGTGCCCGGAGACCTGCTGTCACCCCTGCAGGAAGTCCTGCTGCAGCTTGTCCTCCTTATCTTGCTTGACCTTTAAGCAGTACTGGACACTGTTTACCCTCCCTTGGCAAATTCGTGCACACCCAGGGTTCAGCCACCGGCTGTCTACTCGCTGATAACCCTGTCACCAGCCTGATTCCCACTGGCCCAGCTGCTTTTGGCCTCTGCATACCACAGGTGCTCAATAGTTGCCCATTAAACTGAAGTGGCATCAACGTAGTGGGCTACCAAGTAACTCAAAGAAATGCCTTTGGGCGGGCATTTGGCACACTGGTTAAGATGCCACTTGGAGGCCAGTGCCGCGGCTCAATAGGCTAATCCTCCGCCTGCAGCTCTGGCACACCGGGCTCTGGTCCCAGTCAGGGCGCCGGATTCTGTCCAGCTCTCTGCTGTGGCCCGGGAGTGCAGTGGAGGATGGTCCAAATGCTTGGGCTCTGTACCCACATTGGAGACCAGGGGAAGCACCTGGCTCCTGGCTTCGGATCAGTGCGGTGCGCCGGCCACAGCGCGCCGCTGGAGCAGCCACTGGAGGGTGAACCAACGGCAAAGGAAGACCTTTCTCTCTGTCTCTCTCACTGTCCACTCTGCCTGTCAAAAAAAAATTAAAAAAAAAAAAAAGATGCCAGTTGGAACACCACATCCGCATATCCAAGGCCTGGATCCACTTCCCATTGCAGCTTCCTGGACACGTGCAACTCTGGGAGGCAACAGGTGATGGCTTAAGTACTTGGGTCTCTGCCACCCACCCAGGGGACCCAGGTTGAGTTCTGGGCTCCTGGCTTCAGCCTGACCCAGCCCTGACTGTTGCGGGCATTTTTAAAGTGAGCCAGTGGACGGAAGCTCTCTGTCGCTCGCTCTATAATCCAGAAGTCTGCAGAGTTGGTCGTTGGCTTAGCTGCTAGCACTCCAGCTGGGAACCTCACGTGCTGTATGGGAGTGCCTGAGTTTGTTTCCAGCTTCCTGCTCATGCGCACCCTGGGAGAAGGCAGGTAACAGTTGAAGTGGTTGAATCTCTGCCACTTGATCGAGTTCCTGGCTCCTGGCTTCTGCCTTGCGCAGCCTGGGTTGTTGCAGGCATTTGGGGAGTAAACCAGTGGCTGGGAGCAAAGTCACATCTGTCTATCTCTCAAATTAAGTAAATAAATAAAAATTTTAAATATTCCAGATCCCTAACAAATAGTGCAAATGTGAATGGGCCAGGTCTAAGGAACCATGCACAAGGTTAAGATAAAGGGTAACGGGGCCAGGGGGTCAGGCAGGAGTGACAGGAAGGGCTGGTTCCTGGAGAGCAAGGGGCTGAACTCCCAGCTCTCTCGAAGCCCAAAACCCAGAATTTTGTTTAAAATGCCCTGATTTTTGAAATACCGGCAACCAATTCAGAACATTAAGAATGTATCAGTGGCTGCTCCACTTCAGATCCAGCTCTGCTATGGCCTGGGAGAGCAGTGGAAGATGGCCCAAGTCCTTGGGCCCCTGTATCTGCATAGGAGACCCGGAAGAAGCTCCTGGCTCCTGGCTTCAGATCGGCCCAGCTCTGGCCATTTGGGGAATGAACCAGTGGGTGGAAGATCCCTCTCTCTCTCTCTCTCTCTGTCTCTCCCTCTCTCTGTAACTCTGCCTCTCAAATAAATAAATAAATCTTTTAAAAAATGCATCCATGGATATTATTGATGAACCAAAGGAAACCTTTCTGTGACCCAAATAGAGCCCAGCTCTGAGTCTGTGTCACCGTTCACATTCATGCTTGCCTGGGGCTACTACAGGATACCCCATACAAGGTGTCTTGGCTCGTTTTTAAATGTCAGCGAGGGAACTGTGATGGGGCTTTCTGGTAGTTCCAGTTTCTAGATAGAAAGAGGCTGCTTATCTTGAAGCCGCCTTTTGTCACTTAGGAAGCTCTGCCCTTTGGTCACAGGAAGACAAGACCTACACAGAGTGCTGGGGGCACTGAGGTCACCATGAAACTGAACTTGAGTCCACAGACTGGGGCTGTAGGTCTGGTTAGTTGTACGAATTAGCTACGTTATCTTGAGCTTGATAGTGTCTTGGAAGGTAAGGAAAATACATTTTTGAAAGATTTATTTACGGGCTGGCGCTGTGGTGCGTGGGGTGAAGCCGCGGCCTGCAGTGTTGGAATCCCACATAGGTATAGGTTCCAGGCCTGGCTGCTCCACTTCCAATCCAGCTCCCTTTCAATGTGCCTGGGAAAACAGTGGAAGATGGCCCAAGTGCCTGGGTCCCTGCACCCACATGGGAGATTCTGTTTCTTTCTCTCTCTCTTTCTCCCTCTCCCTCTCTTTAATTCTGACAAATAAATAAGATAAATTTTTTTAAATGTATCACATTCCTATATGGGCACCAGTTTGAGTCCTGGCCACTCCACTTCTGATACAACTCCCAGCTAATGGCCTGGGAAAGCAGCAGAAGACGGCCCAAGTCCCTACATCCCTGCACCCACCTGGAAGACCCGGATGGAGTTGCAGGACCCCAGCATTGACCTGAGCCACCTCAGCTGTTATAGACATCTGGGAATGAGCCAGTAGGTAGGAGCTCTCTGTTTCTCTGTATCTGTCTTTCTGGTTTTATTTTTCAAAAAGATTTTATTTATTTAAAAGGCAGAGATACATACAGAGAAGGAGAAAGATAGAGATAGAGACAGAGATAGGTTCCAGGGCCGGTGCTGTGGCATAGCCAGTAAAGCTGCCGCCTGCAGTGCTGGCATCCCATATGGGCGCCGGTTCAAGTCCCGGCTGCTCCACTTCCACTCCAGCTCTCTACTATGGCCTTGGAAAGCAGTAGAAGATGGCTCAAGTCCTTGGGCCTCTGCACCTGCGTGGGAGACCCAGAAGAAGCTCCTGGCTTCAGATTGGTACAGCTCTGGCCTTTGTGGCCAACTGGGGAGTGAACCATCGGAGGGAAGACCTCTCTCTCTCTCTCTCTCTCTCTCTCTGCCTCTCCTTCTCTCTGTGTGTAACTCTGACTTTCAAATAAATAAATAAATCTTAGAAAGAGAAAGAGAAAGAGAAAGAGGAAGGAAGGAAGGAAGGAAGGAAGGAAGGAAGGAAGGAAGGAAGGAAGGAAGGAAATGTTTCATTGGCTGATTTACTTCCCAAACAGCCACAATGGCCGGGTCCACACCAGGCCGAAGCCAGGAGCCAGGAGCTTCTTCTGCGTCTCCCATGTGGGTGCAGGGGCCCAGACACTCAAACCGACACCCACATGGGATGCCTGCATTGCAGGCGAAGGCTTAGCCTTCTATGCCACAGCACCGGCCCCTGTCTTTCTGTTTTTAAATAAAAATTATTTGAAGAAATAAAAAATGCAATTTTCTGAGAAGGGTCCAGAAACCCAGCAGGATGGGCAAGGGTTCATTGTGGAAAGCAACTGGGGAGGAGGGGCGCTGAGTGGGGCCTGGGTAGAAAACCCCAGAGCTGTGCATTCCCCGCACGCAGGCTGTGCCTCCTTTCTCCACTGAACACCTCCCAGGCATTGCCAGGCCGTGTGACATTGCCTCCCAGGATGCACCTTAGCAGGAAGCTGGGACTTGAACCCAGGACTTGGGTATAGTGCGCGCAACTCCAAAACTTTTTTTTTTTGACAGGCAGAGTGGACAGTGAGAGAGAGAAACAGAGAGAAAGGTCTTCCTTTGCCGTTGGTTCACCCTCCAAAGGCCGCCGCGGCCGGCGCGCTGCAGCTGGCACACCCCACTGATCCGAAGGCAGGAGCCAGGTGCTTCCCCTGGTCTCCCATGGGGTGCAGGGCCCAAGCACCTGGGCCATCCTCCACTGCACTCCCTGGCCACAGCAGAGAGCTGGCCTGGAAGAGGGGCAACCGGGACAGAATCCGGCGCCCTGACCGGGACTAGAACCCGGTGTGCCGGCACCTCTAGGCGGAGGATTAGCCTATTGAGCCACAGCGCCAGCCCCAAAACTATTTTTTTAAGACTTATTTATTTAAAAGGCGAAGTTACATTGAGAGATTTTTTTTAAAGATTTATTTATTTGGAAAGCAAATTTACAGAAAAGAGAGGCAGAAAGAGAGACCTTCCATCTACTCCCCAAATGGCCACAACAGCCAGAGCTGCACCAATCCAAAGCCAGGAGCCAGGAGCTTCTTCCGGGTCTCCTACGTGGGTGCAGGGGCCCAAGGACGTGGGCCATCTTCTACTGCTTTCCCAGGCCATAATAGAGAGCTGGGTCGGAAGTGGAGCAGCCGGGACTTGAACCAGTGCTCGCTCATATGGGATCCCGGTGTTATAGGTGGTGGCTTAACCCTCAGTGCTGGCCCCCAAACTATGTCGTGGCCACCAGGCTATTTACTTTGCTTCAGATAACTTTTTTTTGAAGATTTACTTATTTACTTCAAAGGTAGAGTTACAGAGAGGGGGGAGAGAGATGTGTTCCATCCACTGGTTCACTCCCAAATGGCTGCAACAGGTGAGGCTGGGCCAGTCCAAAGCCAGGAGCCTGGGCCCCCATCCAAGTCTCCCACGTGGGTGCAGGGGCCCAAAGATTTGAGCCGTCCTCATAGGTGCCCATATGAGACGCCTGCATCTCAGGCAGCGGCTTAACCAGCTGCACAACACCAGCCCTCAAGCTGTATCCTAACCGCCAGGCCAAGCACTTGCTCTTTCTTGGAGAATTTTAAATAAAGCCCTAGAGACTCCGGTCTTGCTATGGCTGCTTGCTGGAACGGAAGAGATGAAACCTTGCTAAGCAGGTCAGAGAGGCTGAGAGAACTGACCCCAGAGAGAAGAATGGAATGTGGGCCGTGTCTACATCAGTCCCTTTTGGAGAAAATCAAACTCAGGTTGTTAAGTCTTTACGCGATCATCAGTTTTATGCTAACTGGTAAAGGCCTGCAGAAAATTCTCTTCAAAAAATTTCACGTTGTTCTACAAGTGTGTGTGTGTGTGTGTGTGTACACATAGGAAATAACTCATAGTCCCTCTGAAGACAACATGTGCTCAGGCACGTAGGTTGCAGAAATTAATGTCAGATACAACCTCATACATATTCAGATAGTCACATTTAGCTGCACATTTAGGTGTAAATGAAGTGAGAAGAGAGAAAATGGTTCAATTGTATTTATGTTACATAGCAGGGCTAAAACTTTGTCTTGTAAACTCTAGGAAAGAGCAAAAATTAGATTACCAAAGAATTTCTTTCTACAGTATGGCTATGTCAGGATCACCCAATAGGTTATAATTTTTACCCAAAAAAAAATCTAGCTGCCTAAGTGTAGTCTGTGCCAGGGCTAGTGTCGTGGCACAGCAGGTTATGCTGTTGCCTGTGACGCCAGCATTAAATATTGGAGCGCAGGTTCAAGTCCCAGCTACTCTGCTTCCAATCCAGTTCCCTGCTGATGTGCCTAGGAAAGCGTCGGAGGCTGGCCCAAGTGCTCCTGGCCCTGCCACCCACGTGGGAGACCCGGATGGAGTTCCAGGCTTCGGGCTTTGGCCTGGCCCAGCCCCGCCTGTTCCAGCAGTTTGGGGAGTGAACCAGCAGATGGACCATCTCTTTTTGTCTCTGTCTCTCCATCCCTCCCTGTCACTCTGCCTTTCAAATAAATGAAGTAAATCTTAAAAAAAAAGTCTAGGATATACCAAAAAGATAGACTTACTATATCCAGAATGGAAGGCGAGGTGTTTTCGAAGTATTTAATATTCTCAGCGTTTAACTTTGTATTCTCCTGATAGAAGGTCACTTTACGTATCTATTTCCAATAATGAGGAGTAGTTGGTTGCTGTGAATCTTCTTCCTTTACAGGAAAAAAAAAAAAAAAAAGAATGAATGGCAGGACTCCCATCAACTGCTGAAATATGCAGGAACACACTTGAGTAAACATTTTTCTTTTAAAGACATGTATTTGAAAGGCCGAGTTACAGAGAGAGAGAATCTTCCAATGGCTGGGTCACTCCTCAAAGGTTTCAACAGCCTGGGCTGGACCAGGACAAAGCCTGGAGCCAAGAAGTCCATCCAGGTCTCCCACGTGGGTACAGGGGCCCAAGGACTTGGGCCATCTTCCACTGCTTTCCCAGGCCACAGCAGAGAGCTGGACTGGAAGTGGAGCAGCCGGGGGGCTGGAGCTGTGGCACAGCAGGTTAAGCCACTGTCTGCAGAGCTGGCATCTCCTATCATATGGGTGATGGTTGAAGTTCTGGCTGCTCCCTCCTACTGCTCCTGGGAGAGCAGCAGAGGGGAGTGAACCAGCAGATGGAAGACCTCTCTCTTTCTCCCTCTTTCTGTAACTCTGCTTTTCAAATAAATAAAATAAACCTAAAAAAAAAAAAGCTTGGATTCGGGACAGGAGATGAGCACGCAGGATGTGTGGATGTGCACACCAGGAAGTATGGTGTCACACATGGTCACCCTCCCCAGCGCCTGGCCAGCTCTCAACTCCACCTGCTCACACTGTTCCCAGCGGGTGTTGGCCAAGCAAGTCCCCTCCCAGGGGCTGAGCAAGGGGAGCCGACAGCGTTCAGAGAACCAGGCGTTGCTACCAGCTGATCCAGTGTGTCTGTTGCCCACGCACGAGTTTTCATAATTGGGTCTCTACCTTCCGCCAGAGGCTGTCTGAGCCGTGCACACAAATGGGGTCTCCCTTGAGAGCTACATGCAGCCGGGGACTGACCGCGGAACCTGTCGGGGGATGGCTTAGCCATTATCAGATGCCGATGAGACAGTTCGGGGAACAGATGTTATTAGAGATGTGTTCCTGGGCAAGGAAGGGGAGGACTGGGGACATGGACAGGTCCAACGGCAGAGCAGGTGGCCCCAAGCCTCGGCCGCTCCGCCGGAAGTGGGTGCGGGCTGCCTCAGAACAGGTGTGACCTTGGGTGAGAAGCCAGGCCTGAGGGTGCTGAGGGCTGGATGCTGACCACGCTCCGTGAAGCAGAGAGGGAGTCTGCCCGTGCATCCTGTTGTCTCCCACAGGAGGTGTGTGGTGGGCAGGGTGGGGGTGGAGACGGGGGAACCAGCTGCGCCATGTCCAGAGGCAGTAGCCAGTCTGGGAAAAAAAAAAAAAAATCCTTCCAGCCAGTAACACTGTAAAACAGGAAGTGGAGGATGCCGTTATCAGTGGCACTTAGCCAAAATGAAAATTCCCTCCCACGTGGTTGGGCTCAGTCATCCACTGTGTGCAGCTCTGGTTCCTCCCTGCTGCCTCCTTCCTTCCCGGGCTTGGATTCTCTGCTGCCTTCCCTTCGAGCCCCGGCAGCCTGGCCCCCTCCCCCGCTCTGCCCTCACCCAGGGGCGCTGTCACCGTGTGCCACCAGGGCGAGGAGGGGGTGGTAGCCCAGGTACACCAGACAGGTGCGCCCTGTGGCCTTTCTGGGCGGGACCTAGGGATGGCTCTGCCGCAGGGGTTGTGCCACGGTGTATGTAATGGGCAGGCCCCTCGCCCACCCCTGACGCGGGCACCCAGAGTGTCCCGGCATGGGGACAGCAGGAACTTTGAGAGCTGCCGTCTCCCAGGGGTTGGGGCAGCGGCACATGGAAGAGCCGCTTCCTGGCTCCAGCCATCAGACCACAGTGCAAACTCAGTCCCAGGCCAGTGTGGCTGCACACACATGAGCCCCTGACTCGCGTGAGCGTCTACACTGGCCCATTCCCTGTTCCTGCTCTGTGCCTGGCGGATGTCATTTGTGCCTTCCCTCCAGCTCCAGGCACCCGTCACAGACAAGCCCTGCGAAACGACTCATGCTTTTTTAGTGATTCCTCACACAAGTTAAATGCTCCGATACCTGCACTCACACGTGGCACTGTCCAGCGTACAGACACCGTGAAAATGCACTTTATACTTCTACTTCTTCTCTACTGGGGATGCTAACCAGCAAACAAGACGTCACACATCGAGAGAAGACTGCCAAGGGAAAAAACTTTATTTTTTGCACCCTTGACGGTGCTTTCATGTTTGCTCCCCCTGTCTGGGCCAGGAACCCTGCGTTTTCATTTTGCACCAGGCAGATCCTGCCTCTCAGCTTTACCCCCCTACAGAAAAGTTCACGTTTCTACCTCATTTTAAAGACCCTCCCCAGAAAGGCAACATCTTCGGGCCCTCCTTGCATAAGCCGCATCCTCTTGCGAGACTTCCAACGCCAATCTTAAAATTCTGAGCGATGCCATGACTTAATTTCTATTTTCCTCTTAGACTTTTTCATACAATAAGTCTGTGAAGCTCTTATGCTCCCTGGAAGGGGGAAAAAAAAAAAACCAACAACCAACCCTCAGAAGGGAGTGCCGTTTCAAAAACTAAAGGAAATCGCTGGCACTCCAAGGGAGGCCGGAAACCCGGCAGGGCAAAGTTAGGGAGGCGTCCGGGTCTTTAGGAACGGAGTGGGGCCCCGAGCCCAGCCGCGCCTGCACAGGCGCGCGTCCCCTTTAAGAGGCGGGCCCGTGGGCGGGGCCTGGCGGCGGCCCGCTCTCCCAGACTGCCCCGCGCGCGCGCCGGCAGTTCGGCCACGTCCCCGGCCACGTCGCGCCCGCTCTCGCCATCTTCGCCGCTTCCTCTCGGGGGCCGCCGCCGCCTGAGCCCGCCGAGCCCCGGGGCCCGCCGCGCCGACTGCCGCCGCCATGAACATCTTCCGGCTGACCGGGGACTTGTCCCACCTGGCGGCCATCGTCATCCTGCTGCTGAAGATCTGGAAGACGCGCTCCTGCGCCGGTGAGCGGCCGGGCGAGGCCCCGGGAGGGCTCAGGCGCGGGGCCGGGTCGCCCGCGGGACCCGCCGACCTCGGCCTGCTGGCCCGGCACCGAGACGCGGGCCGCGGGAGCCTGGGGGCCCCTCGGGGTGGGCTCCAGGCCGGGCCGCGCGGGTGTCGCAGCGCGGGGCCGCGCTCCGCACCTGGTTCCCCGCGACCCGGAGCGGCCGGGACGGAAGGGCTCTGGCCCTGCTGAGCGGGGCCCTGTTCGGTCTGACAAGTTCGGGGCGGAAGAACGAGGGTGGGTGGGTGGGGGTCCGGCTGGCCTGTCCGCGCGGTCCCTGAGCTTTAAGGGGCGGGGTCCGGGGGTGGCGGGCGCGGGCGGCGCGGGGATCCCGCACGCGAATCAATGGACGGGGCGAGAGAGGATGGGCAGGCCCGCGCCCGGCTCTGCCTGACGTGGCAGCCGAGCCAGTTCGGGAGGTGGGGCAGCCTGGGGGTGGGGGGCGAGGTCATCGCGCCCCAGTAAAGGCCTGGGGCTCGAGGTCAGGGTGTCAGGGCGGTCGGGTCACCCCAGCTGCGGGAGCGCGAGTAAGGTCTCCGCAGCATTTTGGGGTTTGTCAAACCCCGGGAGCCTCCGTGTAATAACGGGTTCTGCGCTGGGTACCGCCGAGGTGCGTCCCCTGTGGTCTCCCCGCGGTTCCGGCCTCCACGTCACCAGGGAGCTGGCCCGGTCCGTCGCCTGAGCTGATAGCTACAGAGTTCTTGCGTTTCATTGCAATGCCCTGAGTGCTCACGGATGGCGAATTTCTAAGATTTTCTTCGAAGTGCCATGCCTCCCTTGAGCTCGGGTTCAGTGACATCACTTGCAGCGAACTCAGGAACTTGAATTTTTTTCTCGGGGTCAGTGGACAGATGGAGTCCCAGAGGTCTGGGGTAGCAAGGGATCCCATTTATCCGCGTTTCTAAAAGTCCCACTGTGCCGGCCAGGCCTCGCCCTTCTCCCAGGAGCCTAGCTGAGATCCGGGAAGTGAGCGAGACCAACAGAGACCTTTGAGCTGTCAGGACAGGCGTTGCAAAGTCCACACGCTGGGACACCAGTGCGTCTGCCTCGGAGGTGATCTCTCAGAGGCTTGGTCACCGTGACTTCCAGGGCAGCGAATCGGTCAGCCGGTGGTGTCTGTGAGTGGCCGGCTCAGTGAGTTCACCACAGGGAGTGGATGCCCCGGGGCCCGCTCCCCACTGGGGCGAAGGGAGCTGAGGCTGGGGGGTGGGCGCTGGGGCACGCACCTTAGTGAGGAGCCAGGGTCCCAGTGGGTAGCAGTTCACAGTTCAGGGCTTTGGGGGAATAGGAGTCCGCGTGTGCTTCGGCCTAAGTCGCGTTAGTGTTGACATTTGGTGTCGGTAGTGTAGGTCCTCCTTGAGGTGTCAGGTGCTGCTGTTAGTCTTCAGTTTTGCTCCGAGACCTTTGTTTGAATCTCTTTTTCCAGCAAGTCGTGAAAGTGTGCGTGTGCCGGCTCCTAAGCTTGAGTCCAGACACAGCTGTCGGGGAGAGGTTAGTGCAGCTCCAGGAGCAGAACCCTTAGGGGCCGTGAGCAAGGACAGAGCGGGGGAGTCTGCTGCTGTTTTGTTTCCAGATAGTCACTCTTTTCACTTGGGAGACTTAGGAGCATTAAGGGAAATATAAACTATCTCAGATAAAATGCTGAGCAAGAAGGATGAACAGGTGAGTCAGGTTTGCTCGCCAGGTATTCCTTGGGCATTATTAAACTGGGCTTGTTCTCAGATGTAGGAAGATTTGTATTTTTGGTCTATGAGTTTTCCTGGCCTTTTAAAAATCAAAATCACCGAGATCACTTGGTCAGAATTCAAGGCTGCCTTGGACTAGCTACTTTGTTCTCCCACACTAAATTATAAAAGTACCTTGGGGACTCTTGAAAGAGTAAGAATTTGATATGAGTTTCTCAAATAACTGAAATGGGAGACACGCACCAGCCGAGTGTCTCACTTTGAAAATACCAGTATTGCACCTCGTTGTAGGGTTTTGGACGTGTCTGCTGTGCTGTCTCCCACCAGGGTCGGGCAGGAGGCCCGCTGGTGAGGAAGCTGGAGCTGCCTTCTCCCTCCTGGCAGCTGTCTCGGGCCTGTCCTGCAGTACTTGTCTGAATCTGCTGTGCCATTTGCGTGACAGAAGGGTTTCTCTCTCGCAGGAGGAGCATTGCAGCTTCACCTGCCGTGTGCTCACGTTGTCGCTGCATTTTTGCTGTAAACACTGACCTAGATAACCTCGGGAGAACGAGCTGGGGTGTTTAGATGCAGGGCTTCTCTGAGTTTCCCTGTAGAGTGCTGGTGGGGTTCTGAGATCCATGACTCCAGCCTCTGCTTGACTGTGTTCAGGGATGATGGGCAGCTTCTGACCTGTTCACCTGCCTGCTGTCCCTGCACTCACATAATTGCCCGGGATATGTCTTTCCAAGTAAGTGGAAAACACCTTACCTTGATTGTTGATGTGGAGTCCTTCGAGGGGCTTTTTTAAAATTAATTAATTAATTTGAAAGGCAGAGAGAGGCAGAGATCTTCCATCTGCTGGTTCACTCCCCAAATGGCCACAATGGCTGGAGCTGCACAGATCTGAAGCCAGGAGCTTCTTCCAGGTCTCCCACGTGGGTACAGGGGCTCAAACACTTGGACCATCTTCTGCTACTCTCCCAGGCACATCAGCAGGGAGCTAGATCAGAAGTGGAGCAGCCAGAACTCAAACTGGCACCCATATGGGATCCCGGCACGGCAGGCAGCGGCTTTATCTGCTACGCCACAGCGCCAGCCCTTCGAGAGGCTTTTGTGTCAGGTTCCCAGCTCCCTCTTTGAGGCAGCTGTCACCGCTGTTCCCTTGTGTGCCAGTTCTCTCCAGCTGGTGCTGACGACCCACTATGTGCAGGGTACTGGAATAGAATTCAGAAATTCAGAACTCAGAGCAGCGCCTGCATCCTGTAGAGTTCTATCTTTCTCTTGGAGTTTCTGCGATTGATAGGCAGAGTGGACAGTGAGAGAGAGAGAGAGAGAGAGAAGGGTCTTCCTTTTGTTGTTGGTTCACCCTCCAATGGCCGCTGCGGCCGGCGCATCGCGCTGATCTGAAGCCAGGAGCCAGGTGCTTTTCCTGGTCTCCCATGGGGTGCAGGGCCCAAGTACTTGGGCCATCCTCCACTGCACTCCCTGGCCACAGCAGAGAGCTGGACTGGAAGAGGGGCAACCGGGACAGACTCCGGCGCCCCGACCAGGACTAGAACCCGCTGTACCGGCGCCGCAGGCGGAGGATTAGTCTATTGAGCTGCGGCACCGGCCTGAGTTTCTATTCTGAAAAGCTGCAGTTAGCCAATGAGAAGATAGGTATGAACAGATGAGAATAAAGAGTCTCAGCCAGTATGGGCAGTAGTAGATCGTATGGGTGCTGAGTGGTAAGAAGGACCCCAGGGCAGCGCCTGTGTGGAGCAGGGAGTGTGCAGGACCTCTCTGAAGACGAGCATGGCACTGCCGAGGGTGCAGGAGCAGTCAGGCTGCTGAGGGGCTGTGTGGCACCTCTCTCCCAGTTACCTTATCAGTTCCGCACATCAGCACAGTTAACGACAGTAAACCCAGGAAAATAGCCTGTAATAATTCTAGGTACAAAAGGTTGATACCCATAATAAAATACTCCCACAAATAGACAAGCTGACAGAAAAATAGGCAGAGTTGGTAGTTCCCAAAAGAATTAACAAAAGATCAGTTAGGCATGAGAGAATGCCCAGCCTCAGGCAATAACAACTTGGGTGTGGAGACGCAGTGTGTGCCCGCTGGGCGGGAGCAGATGAGAGAGAGAACCTCTGGATGTAGGGAGGAGTATGAAGAAAAGGTGTTGGGAATTTGGCAAGTTGAAATGTCACGCCTTGGGCTGGCTTTGGTGCAGTGGGCTAAGCCGCTGCATACAACCCCAGCACCCCACGTCAGAGCACCCGTTTGAGTCCCAGCTACTCCGCTTCTGATCCAGGGTCCTAGGAGTGTGCGTGGCACACAGCAGAAGGTGCCTGCCTGCATGCACGTGGGAGACCAGGATGCGGTTCCTGGCTCTGGCTTCAGCGCAGCCCAGCCTTGGTTGTTGTGGCCATCTGGGGAGGAACCCAGGATGAAAGAGCTCCCGCCTCCGGCCGCTTCCCCTCTCGGCCTTTCAAGTAAATCAATAAAGGACCTCTCTCTCTGTCTCTCTCCATCTCTCTCTGTCTCTCTCCGTCTCCTAACTTTGCCTTTCAGATAAAGCTTTAAAAAACTTATGTCTATCTCAGCAGTCTAAAGAGTTAAAAATTTTGTTACAATTTGTGATTCATGGGTCATACTTGCGCATTTTGATGGTGTGACTCTAGGGAATCTGGACTCAGCTCGTCCTGTGTGAGCAGACTGGGTAGGTATAACTGTTCATCACACCTGACCAAAGGAATCTGGACTCAGCTCACCCTGTGTGAACAGACTGTGTAGGTATAACTATTCGTTACACCTGATCAAAGGAATCTGGACTCAGCTCACCCTGTGTGAACAGACTGTGTGGGTATAACCGTTCATCACACCTGACCAAAGGAATCTGGACTCAGCTCACCCTGTGTGAACAGACTGTGTAGGTATAACTGTTCATTACACCTGACCAAAGGAATCTGGACTCAGCTCGTCCTGTGTGAACAGACTGTGTAGGTATAACCGTTCATCACACCTGACCAAAGGAATCTGGACTCAGCTCACCCTGTGTGAACAGACTGTGTGGGTATAACCGTTCATCACACCTGACCAGAGTACAAAACCTAAGTGGTGAAGCAGAAGCCAGGCCCCTGGTTTTGTTTTTTTCTTTTTTAGATTTTTATTTATTTATTTGGCAGACAGTTATGCACAGTGGGAGAGAGAGGGGCTTCCATCTGCTGGTTCACTCCCAATTGGCAGCAACAGCCTGAGTTATGCGGATCCAAAGCCAGGAGCTTCCTCTGGGCCTCCCTTGTGGGTGCAGGAGCCCAAGGACTTGGGCCATCTTCCACTGCCCTCCCGGGCCGCCGTAGAGAGCTGGACTGGAAGAGGAGCAGCTGGGACTAGAACCGGCGCCCATCTGGGATTCCGGCGCTGCAGGCGGAGGATTAACCTGCACCACAGCGCTGGAACTAGCCCCCTTTTAAGGGGTGAGAGTGTGTGTGGGCACACACATGAACATGTTTTAAAAAAATGAGAGATTTTAAAAAGCTTGGGGGCTATTGTTGTGGTGTGGCAGTTAAAGCTGCTGCTGTCCCTTACAGGTGCTGGTTCGTTTCCGGCTGTTCAACTTGCGATCCAGGTCCCTGCCACGCACGTGGGAGACTGGAATGAAACTCCTGGTTTCAACCTGGCCCAACCCTGATCGTTACAGCCATCAGGGGAGTGAACCAGCAGATGGAAGATAGCTCTTTGTTTCTCCCTCTCTGTAACTCTGACTTTCAAATAAAGTAATTTCTTAAAAATAAATAGCCTGGGCCGGCGCTGCAGCTCACTAGGCTGATCCTCCGCCAGCCACACCGGCACCCAGGGTTCTAGTCCTGGTTGGGGTGCTGGATTCTGTCCCGGTTGCTCCTCTTCCATGCCAGCTCTCTGCTGTGGCCCAGGAAGGCAGTGGAGGATGGTCCAAGTCCTTGGGCCCTGCACCCCATGGGAGACCAGGAGGAAGCACCTGGCTTTGGAATGGCGCAGCGCGCTGCTGTGGTCGCCTTTTGAGGGGTGAACCAACGGAAGGAAGACCTTTCTCTCTGTCTCTTTCTCACTGTCTAACTCTGCCTGTCAAATAAATAAATAAATAAATAGCCTGGAGGGACAGGCTTTGTGCGGCAGTTTAAGCCACCACTTGGACTGCCTGGTTCTAGCCCTGGCTACTGGGCTTCCGATCCAGCTTCCTGCTAATGTGTACCCTGGGAAAACAGTGGTGATGGCTCAAGCAGTGAGTCCCTCCACCTACGTGGGAGACGCAGACTGGATTCCTGGCTCCTGATTTTGGCTTGGTGCAGCCCTGGCTGTGTGGGTATTTAGGGAGGGAGCTGGAACCAGCAGATAGAATATCTCTTGTGTCTCTCTGCCTCTCAAGTAAATAAATATTTTAAAAATAATAAAAAATAGAAAACCTGAAAAGTTATGCTTAAAATGTGGTGGTATTGAAAATATCTTTCCCCTTTCTATTCCATATGTTTAATGAAGTAATTATCGTGGATTTCTTTGGAAATAGGGGGAAAGTGACAATAGTAAATAGTAAAAGCTGTTATTATGAAGTATTCACAATGGCAGGTGTAGAATAAAGCATTTTAGCCTTTTATTTTCTAGCACGCCCACAAAATTAGTATAATTTGTCCCTATTTGACAGATGCAGAAAGTGAGGACTTGAGCCATCCTCCACTGCTTTCACAGGCCACAGCAGAGAGGTGGATCGGAAGTGGAGCAGTTGGGCCCTGAACCGGCTCCCATATAGGATGCCGGCACTGCAGACTGTGGCTTTACCTGCTACACCACAGCACCAGCCCCAAGTCGTGGGCTTTTATTAGACTTCACTTGGTCTAGAGGGAAGACAAGAGTGACGTCAAGGTTGATGAATGATTTCCATTCAGCGAGTTACTCTCTGAACATGGTGCATGGAGCCTTGGGATGCCAGCTTCAGAGATGCTCCCGGTGGATTTGGGCGCATTTGTTACCTGGTAGCTTAGCATGCTTCGGTCTCAAAACCGGGAAGCTGCAGCCACTGCAGCCCAGGAGCAGGAACTGCACACCCCGCTCTGAGGTTCCTGCCTCCCCCTTCTCTCTAGCTGGGGCCCCACCTCCCTGTGAAGACAGGAAAGTTTGGCTGTTGGAGAATGGCGGAGAGCTGTGTAAGCCTCCTCAGGTTCCGGTGTGGACTCAGTGGGGGGAGCCCTAGGCCACAGACGGCTCGTTCTCTCCTCTGCTCGGGTGCACCTGGGCCCCAGCAGTGGTGAATTAGGGCAGAGCCCTAGCGCACTGTACACAGTCACAGACACAGTGTGCTGGAAGTCTTTCAAAGGTTATCCCAGAATACCCCAAGACGGGAATCTGCCGCACCGTGCAAAGAAAATGAATTGCATTTTCTTTTGTTCATTGGGTCATTCATTCAGCAGATATTTTCTGGGCCTGCTGTGTGCCAGGCCCTGTGTCCGGCACCGGGAATACACGGTGGAACAAAGTGTGACCCGGCTGGGGGGGGTGGGGGTGGGACTGAGCTGAGTGGCAGGAACTGGATCGCCAGGGGTTGTTCCTGTAGGTCCTGTGACTGGAGCTGGGGCGGCAGCCGCGGGAGGAGTCCCTGTGATGTGTGCGGGGCAGGCGTCTCAGGCCACCTCTGTGTTGGGCCTCAGAAGGGCCCCGAGACAGCGATACAGTCCCAGGCTTTAGTGCAGGAATGCTGAAAACGAAGACAAATTTCACACCTGCTTGGCCTCCAAAGCGCTGTAAGAATAAGCCCTTTATGGCGCACTTGCCCATCTGTGATGGGCATTGTCGTTTAGCGTGTTGGAAAGAGCTGTATGGGACGTGAACCGGAACCTTCCCACTCAGGGCCTCAGCAGGTACCGCGTGTGGGCTGCCTGCTTGCTCTTCTTCCTCAAATCAGGTACCCTCTCCAGCGTCTCCATCTTGTTTCTTCTTTGGAACAGTAATCTTTGATAGAAAAAAGTTCTCCGTTACTGGGGAAAAGAGTAATCTAAGCAGACTTACTGTTTGTATTGTCGCATCTGGCCCTTGAAACAGATTTATATTGATGCGTCTGGAAGGATGAAGTCAGCTTTTTCTTAGTTTCTGTGTAGGTGTTTTGTGAATAGGCTGGAACTGTGATTACAGTTAAGCAGCAGCATTCTTGCATGCAGGCTTTAGTTTCAGCAAGCTGCGAAGTGATTGTTTCAAGATGTCCTGTTGGAGAGGAGCATGGCGATTGATTGGAGTGCCGCAGCGTTACTGCCAAATGCCTGCTTCCTTCCTGAAGTGTGTGGTGGTGTGCTTACATTATGGACAAAACTGGTGGATTGTGATCCTCAGTTGTCTTCCGGCTCCCTCCCATTGTCATGTAAATGTCGACCAGATACAGGGGTCAGGAAAGCCTGGTGCAGGCCTTGTGGCCCTCTAGTCCTCCCTGAGCCAGGCCTGCCACACGGTGCTCTGCAGGTGGCTGGTGCTTGGACGTGGACTTTCAGGGGTTAAAGGGCAGCTGCTTCTGAAGACTCTGGTCACAGGTGCCCTCCCCGTTGCTGTAGCATTTCTGTGCAAATATGGGGTTAGTTTGGGGCCAGTCCAAGAGAGGGAATTTAAAAAGCATGTTTTTTAAAAAAGACATTTTATTAATTTGAAAGGCAGAGAGACAGATCATCCATCTACTGATTCACTCCACAAATGGCTGCAACAGCTGGGCCGGGCCGGGCCGGGCCAGGCCACACTAGGCTGAAGCCAGGAGCTAGGATGGATACAGGGGCCCAAGCACCTGGGCCGTCTTCACTGCTTTCCTAGGCGTGTTAGTAGGGAGCTGGATCGGAAGTGGAGCAGACAGGACTGAAACTGGTGCCCACGTGGGATGCAGGAGTCTCAGGTGCCAGCTTTACCTGCTACAGGTGTTAACATCTTCAGGTAAACCCTGCCCTCAGGAGAGAGGTTGTGTCAGGAGGTCTTCCCATGATTCCTCAGGAGAGAGGTCATGTCAGGAGGTCCTACCATGATTTGGGAGTGGATTCCAGCTTTGTCCTCCAAAGATTTACCAACACACTGTTACTGTGTTCCTGAGAGACAGTACCCGTCCACTAGTTCAGTCCTTGTGTGTTCACAGTGGCTGGGGTGTTTTCAAAGCTGGCAGTTGGGAGCTCACATCTGATTGTCCTGTGTGGGTGGTGGGAACCGAACTACTTGAGTCCTCACTGTCACCTCCAGGGAGTGCATTAGCAGGAATCTGGAGTCAGGAATCAGAGCTGGAAGCCAGACCTCCGATGTGGGGCTGGGGCAGCCTCGCTGGTGTGTGAATGCCAGGCCAGACGTCTCCCCTCAGGTACTGGTAACGGGGCAGCTACAACTCTGAGTGGCAGCAGTTTCTCCGAGAAGTGTGTCCTCCTAAGGGACACACCGACCTGTGACATCCTTGAGAAATAGGATGTCCACATACAGCCTTGAGTGTTGGAAGTGGCATCATTTAGTCATTTTCTGACCCCTCATGACAAGGAGGAAGAGTGGGAGGGCCTCCTGTGGGAATGCTCAGGGATGCCGCGGGACAGGGAGAGCCACTCGTGTCCACGGCGGTCCCAGGCGCGCGCCTTCCCGTCTGCATCCGCAGCGTGGGCCGCAGCAGCCCCCAGCTCCTCGGGCCTCTCTAACGCGTGCCTTTTGTCTCCTTAGGTATTTCTGGGAAAAGCCAGCTTCTGTTTGCACTGGTCTTCACAACTCGTTACCTGGACCTTTTTACTTCATTTATTTCATTATATAATACATCTATGAAGGTATGGTATGGCGTCCAGTAGAGTGTAGTTAAGAAGCATGTCTAAATACACTGTTGTTAAAACATTCAGTCTGCCTCATACACATTCTGGGAATAACTGGAGCCATTCGGCAGATTCTGTTTGCAGGTTTCCAGTTCTGCAGGTGGCTCGGGGACATGTTTTTTTTTTTTTTTTTTGACAGGCAGAGTGGACAGTGAGAGAGAGAGACAGAGAGAAAGGTCTTCCTTTTGCCGTTGGTTCACCCTCCAATGGCCGCCGCGCTGCGGCCGGCGCACCGCGCTGATCCGATGGCAGGAGCCAGGTACTTATCCTGGTCTCCCATGGGGTGCAGGGCCCAAGCACTTGGGCCATCCTCCACTGCACTCACTCCCTGGCCACAGCAGAGAGCTGGCCTGGAAGAGGAGCAACCGGGACAGAATCCGGCGCCCCGACCGGGACTAGAACCTGGTGTGCCGGCGCCGCAAGGCAGAGGATTAGCCTAGTGAGCCGCAGCGCCAGCCAAAGGGACATGTGTATTTGAAAGTTACCATCAGTGGCCAGCGCCGTGGCTCACTAAGCTAATCCTCCGTCTGCGGCGCCAGCACACCGGGTTCTAGTCCCGATCAGGGCGCTGGATTCTGTCCCGGTTGCCCCTCTTCCAGGCCAGCTGTCTGCTGTGGCCAGGGAGTGCAGTGGAGGATGGCCCAAGTGCTTGGGCCCTGCACCCCATGGGAGACCAGGATAAGCACCTGGCTCCTGCCATCGGATCAGTGCAGCGCCAGCCGCGGCGGCCATTGGAGGGTGAACCAACGGCAAAGGAAGAACTTTCTCTCTGTCTCTCTCTCTCTCACTGTCCACTCTACCTGTCAAAAAAAAAAAAAAGTTACCATCAGTGGGGATTGGGTATTTATTGCTCAGTTTATCTAGATAAGTGTCCTGTGTTCTGTTTATAGCATCTTGGGACATAATGGGTTAAAGTACTTTGAACTTAAAAAATTTTTATTTTCGGTTCCTCAAGTATGATATATCTTCTAAAACTCTTGGTGACTTTCAGGAGAGGTAACTATTATATTTTCAAGCCGTGGGAAATCAGACGCTCCCTGGAGAAACCCAGCCAGTCAGTACGTGATGAGAAAGCGAGGCCAGGGCTTGGCCGTGCAGCGTCTCTTGTGCGGCTGTGTGACAGACTGTGTAGGCTTCTATTTTTTTTTCTTCTTTTTTTCTCACTTAGTTTTTCTTGTGTTTGTGCTACGTTTATTACTTTTGGCACACCTAAATAACATCTCTGGGGTCGGCACTGTGGAATAACAGGCTAAGCTGCTGTCTGTAGTGCCAGCATCCCATATGGGTGCTGATTTGAGTCCTGGCTGCTCCACTTCTGACCCAGCTCCCTGTTAATGTGCCTGGGAAAGCAACGGAAGATGGCTCCTGCACCCACGTGGGAGACCCAGAAGAAGTTTTATTTTATGTATTTGAAAGACAGTTACAGAGAGACAGAGAGAGAGGTCTTCCATCCACTGGTTCACTCCCCAATTGGCCACAACATCCAGAGCTGTGCCAATCCGAAGCAAGGAGCCAGGAGCTCCTTCGGGGTCTCCCATGAGGGTGCAGGGGCCCAAGGACTTGGGCCATCTTCTGCTGTCCCAGGCCACAGCAGAGAGCTGGATAGGAAGAGAAACAGCCGAGACTAGAACCAGCACCCATATGGGATTCCGGCGCTTCAGGCCAGGGCATTAACCCATTGTGCCACAGCGCCGGCCCCCTGTAACTCTTGCAAGTAAGTAAATAAATATTTTTTTAATTCGCCATATTTTACTTACTTATTCAATGCCATTTAATAATACTTAATATAACGTATTCTAAACATTACTTTCTGTGGCATCTGCGGTGTCATTCACACTGCAACAGATGTGTAACTGTTACGGTACTGGTCCTGTTTACCGCTGCCGGTACACACCACACTGGGGAAGCACTGGGCGACTGAGCCTCGGTTCTTTCCCATAGTCATTGACCTTGTACTTCCGAACTCTGGCAGGGTTGGCATGAAGCTGTAGAGTCTGGTGGGGGCATAGATAGAAAGCCACGGTGAAGGACATGTGTAGAGTCTGCTAGGGGCATTGATAGAGCGCCACGGTGGGGGACAAGTATAGAGTGCTGGGGCATCGATACGGCGACACGGTGGGGGACAAGTGTAGAGTCTGCTAGGGGCATTGATAGGGCGACACGGTGGGGGACAAGTATAGAGTGCTGGGGCATCGATAGGGCGACATGGTGAAGGACATGTGTAGAGTCTGCTAGGGGCATTGATAGAGCGCCACGGTGGGGGACAAGTGTAGAGTCTGGGGGGGGCATAGATAGGGCGCCACGGTGGGGGACAAGTGTAGAGTGCTGGGGCATCGATACGGCGACACGGTGGGGGACAAGTGTAGAGTCTGGTGGGGGCATAGATAGAGCGCCATGGTGCTGAATAACGACCACCATTTGTCACAGGTGCTGTGAAGGTCTGACTGCTTTCACTCATTCATTCTGCACATTCGGAGCCTCCAGCGTGCCAGGCACTTGGTTATTAGCATAGAAGTGATATTTAAGCTGAAGCTATCGGTTTGATATTTAAACAACTATCCCCAACACTTTATGCAAAAGCATTAAAATTTTTTTTTTAATGGTTTTCATTTTATCTAAAAGGCGAAGAGAGAGGGAGAGAGAGATCTTCCACCTGCTGGTTCACTCCTCAAATGTCTACAGTAGCCAGGGCTGGGCCAGGCCAAAGCTAGGAGCCAGGAACTCGGTAGTAAGGGTGTCTCATGTGGGTAGCAGGGCCCAAGTACTTGAGCCAACACCTGCTGCCTCCGAGGGTGCACGTCAGTAGGGGGTCAGAAATGGAGCTGGGACTTGAGCCCAGGTGTATCGATACGGAGTGTGGGCATGCCAGGCAGTGTCTTCAACTGCTCTGCCAAACTCTCACCTCAAAAGCATTTTTATAAGCACAGGTGAAAGTAGACACAGCAATATCTGAGACTGTGGCCTGTACCGAAAAGCAAATTTGAGTTACCCGGAGTCATTCCAGTCTTCGTTAGTAAGTGAGGGAAGCCTAGTACCGAGGAATAAGCTCACTGCAGAACGGTGGCCGCCCACTCTCCGGGCAGGTTCCAGCTGCAGGTGTCAGAGGTGTTGGGCAGTGTCCTCTGCCCTGTCAGGGTCCCGGCCGGCAGCAGTACCTGCTGGGTCCCCTGTGCTGAAAGGCGGGTCCTATGTGCTCATGTCTTTCTGCTTTACCTGCCACGTGCTGGTGACAGGACAAACGCAGCTCTTCTCCACAGCCTTCACTGATGGACCTCACCTGCAGCTGGCCACAGGCTGAGGCCCCTTGGCTGCCCTGAGCCTTGCTGGGTGTTTCCAGGGGGCTCGGTGCAGGTACAGAGGTGTGCATATTTTGTTTGTGTGCCTATGTAGATGGTATTTTATTCCTGTACATGTGTACATTTATTTGTTTATGGAAAGAACTACTCTGTTCCTTTTTTTTTTAAATTGATGGTGGTTCTTTGGTGTATTTTGTTTGTTTGTTTGTTTTGGTTTTTTTTGACAGGCAGAGTTAGAGAGAGAGAGAGAGACAAAGAGAAAGGTCTTCCTTCTTCCGTTGGTTCACCCCCCAAGTGGCCGCCATGGCTGGCGCGTTGCAGTCAGCGCGCTTTTCCGATCCAAAGCCAGGAACCAGGTGCTTCCTCCTGGCTTCCTCCATGGGTCTCATGTGGGTGCAGGGCCCAAGGACTTGGGCCGTCCTCCTCTGCACTCCCGGGCCACAGCAGAGAGCTGGCCTGGAAGAGGGGCAACTGGGACAGAATCCAGCGCCCCGACCAGGACTAGAACCTGGTGTGCCGGCGCCGCAAGGCAGAGGATTAGCCTAGTGAGCCGCGGTGCCGGCCCTGGTGTATAGTTTTGACTGACACTTTTTTTGAGAGGCAGAGACATAGAGCAAGGGAGCTGCCATCCACTGATTCACTCCCCGAACGCAAGGCTGGGACTGGAGCTAGGAGCTAGGAGTGCAGTTTGCCTGTCATTGTGGGTCGCAGGAACTCTGTTACTTGAGCCATCCCGCTGCCCCCTGGGGTCTGCATTAGCGGGAAGCTGGACCTGACCTCACGTTGACACATCTGCAAACACAGCTACAGGGACTGTTGAGTGCCTTTGTGGGTATTTTAAAAAAGCAGTTGAGGGCTTGTTGATTGCTCTCATTTTCCTGTTAAGTCGTTTGCCCAAATGTTTTCCTGATTACGTTTCTCAAGTTGTATTTCCTGAGTAGTGGTGCCAGGTAATGCAGCCGCTCTTCTAGTTGGCTTCGTTCGTGGGCTGAACCTGCTGTGTGACTCTTGGGGTTAAATGTCTCCCATCTGGAAATGAATGTAATTTCAGAGTTTGAGATTTTTCCTTGGAGCCAGATGAGTATGTGATGGGTGGCCTTTCGAATGTGAAAGAGCACATGACCGGAAGCCCTTGAGCAGCTGTGCTGCCGTGTTCACAGGATCCCTCGCAGGGAGACAGCCATGTTTCACAGATTATCACTACTGTTAAGTGTTGTCTTTGTTTTGTTATCAAACTTTTATAGCACCAACAGGAATGTTCAGTGTTCAAGTAGCACAATTTAGATAGAAACCAACATTTTAAAGTTAGCATGAATTCCGTTGTATGTGTTATCATTAGGAAAATGTTAGCTAAGAAGTGCTCTGAGGGGGCCGGTGTTGTGGTCTAAAGCCTTACCCGCTGCCTGTGACGCTGGCATCCCATTTGGACACCAATTCAAGTCCTGGCTGCTTTACTTCTGATCCAGCTCTCTGCTAGTGTGCCTGGGACGCCCAGCAGAGGATGGCCCAAGTGCTTGGGCCCCTGCACACACATGGGAGACCTGGAGGAAGCTTCTGACTCCTGACGTCGGTCTGGCCCAGCCTCAGCTGATAGGGTATTCTGGGGCGTGAATCGGTGGATGGGAGATGTTGCTCTGCCTTTCAAATAAGTAAATACTTGGCCGGTGCCGCGGCTCAATAGGCTAATCCTCTGCCTGCGGTGCCGGCACACCGTGTTCTGGTCCCTGTCCGGGCACTGGATTCTGTCCCAGTTACTTCTCTTCCAGTCCAGCTCTCTGCTGTGGCCCGGGAGGGCAGTGGAGGATGGCCCAAGTGCTTGGGCCCTACACCCGCATGGGAGACCAGGAGGAAGCACCTGGCTCCTGGCTTCGGATCCGCAGCGGCCATTGGAGGGTGAACCAATGGAAAAGGAAGACCTTTTTCTCTGTCTCTCTCACTGTCCACTCTACCTGTCCAAAAATAAATAAATAAATACTTAAAAAGAAAAAAAATAGCATCATGCCAAGAGGGCCATTGGTTTTGGATAGCGTTGAACTTTCTTTGCCTTCTCTTTTTCTTAAGCTGTTATCTAATAGTCTGAGATTTAAAAATACATTTCTTTGAGGCTGGCGCCCTGGCTCACTAGGCTAATCGTCCGCCTGCGGCGCTGGCACACCGGGTTCTAGTCCTGGTCAGGGCGCCGGATTCTGTCCCGATTGCCCCTCTTCCAGGCTAGCCCTCTGCTGTGGCCTGGTAGTGCAGTGGAGGATGGCCCAAGTGCTTGGGCCCTGTACCCCATGGGAGACCAGGAGAAGCACCTGGCTCCTGCCATCGGATCAGCGCGGTGCGCCAGCCACAGCGGCCATTGGAGGGTGAACCAACAGCAAAGGAAGACCTTTCTCTCTCTGTTTCTCTCTCTCTCACTGTCCACTCCGCCTGTCAAAAAAAAAAATTTTTTTCTTTGGCAACTTCTTAGGAAATTATACTTAACATGAACCCCAAAAACCTGCTCACACAGAAGCCTGTAGCTGTGTTCATAACAGTTTATCCACCATCCCCTCAGACTGGAAACCACCCGCCTGTCCTTGCACAGGGACCAGACAAGCAGACTGGGCTCCGCTGCTCAGGAACATGCGGTCATAGTTTTAATACACTGTCCATTTTATTTTGAAAGGCAAAAAGATGTCTTTTGTCCTCTGCTTCCTTCCCCAAATGCCTGCAGCAGCCGTGTGTGGGCCGGGCTACAGCCAGGTCCAGAATCAGTCTGGGTCTCCCCCTCAGGTGCAGGGATGCAAGGACTTGAACCGCTGCCTCCCAGGGTGCTCATTAGGAAGCTGGGTTGGAAGGGGAACAGCTGAGACTCAGACCCAAGCAGCCACCTGGCCCCCATGCTGAATGCCTGACCCTGTAACTATGTTAAAATCTGAGAGACAGCTCCCATTTGCTGCTTCACTCTCCACATGCCTGCAATGGCCCAGGGCTGAAGCTGGGAACCCAGTCCAGGTTTCCCATGTGGGTGGCAGGAACCCGACCACTGGAGCCGTCAGAGCTGCCTCCCAGGGCCTGCGTCAGCAGAAAGCTGGAGTCAGGAGCTGGAGCCAGGGGTTTGAACCCAGGCAGTGCGGTGCAGGGACGTGTGCAGGCATCAGCACTGACATCGTAGCCCCTAGCCAGACGCCTGCCTCAGGACAAAGATTTTTTTTTTTTTAAGATTTATTTATTTATTTGAAAAGCAGAGTTACAGAGAGGCAGAGGCAGAGAGAAAAAGAGATCTTCTATCCGCTGGTTCACTCCCCAGATGACCGCGATGGCCGGAGCTAGGCCCATCTGAAGCCAAGAGCTTCTTCCGGGTCTCCCACGTGGGTGCAGGGGCCCAAGGATGTGGGCCATCCTCTACTGCTTTCCCAGGCCATAGCAGAGAGCTGGATCAGAAGTGGAGCAGCTGGGACTTGAACCAGCACCCATATGGGATGCCGGCACTGTAGACAGCGGTTCTAGCCCCATGCCACAGCACTGGCCCTAGGACAAAGTATTAATCCATGCAGAAAGTTTGCTTGACTCTCAGATGTCTTATGCCGGCCCAGATAAGCTGAACTCAAAAGGCAGTGTTCTGAGTGACTTCAGTTACCTTGTGTCAGAAAAGACGAACGTGAGGACGAGGTACAGACCAGTGGTCGCCAGACCGTGAGCCTGTGAGAGGCTTGACCACAAAGGAGTAGCATGGTAGTGGTTTTGGGGCAGTGGAACTGTTCCGGGTCCTAATTGTGGTGGTTTTGAGAACTGTGTACCCCCCAAAAGTGACTTTTCCGTGTTTTAAGAAATACCAAAACAAAACAAAAAAACCCCTAAGACCTAAGGAACAAAACCGTGCCTCTAGATTGACGGGTGAGAAGCTGGAAGAGTTGTAAGGCACTAACCACCTGGTGTTCTGTCTTGCTGTTAGCTCATCTACATTGCCTGCTCCTACGCCACAGTATACCTGATCTACATGAAGTTCAAGGCCACCTACGATGGCAACCATGACACCTTCCGCGTGGAGTTCCTGGTGGTCCCCGTGGGAGGCCTCTCGTTTCTCGTTAACCACGACTTCTCTCCTCTTGAGGTTAGTTCCGTGGTCGAGTGGTTGCCTGGGGGAACAGATGCGTTTGCTTGTTTTCCGCTCGGGCAGATTTCTGGTGGGACATAGACTGCTTGGTGTGAGGCCCCTGGGTGCTGGGTGTTTGCTGTCACTTGGTGCTGGCTCCTTTAGGTATCTCATTACCTTCACTTCTGTCCCCTGACACGGGGCCCCGCAGGTCACAGGGCCTGAAGCACGTGGCTTATCCGCTCCGAGGCCGGCTCGTCTCCCTGTGTGCGGATGTCGCACACCCTGGGGAGGAGTGGGCCAGGGTGCCCTGGCGCTGTGTGGAGAGGGAGCCTGCTCCTGACTGCCTTTTTCCTTCGCACCAAATTGCACAGGGAAGAATAAGATGTTGGAAGGAGAAAGTGATGGAAATTCGAGGTGTCCTGTTGCCCAGCGTGTCGCCGCTGGGGCCCTGCCTCTTACGTGTTGCTCGGGTGTTTGTGAAGTGTGTGGCTGCCAGGCTGCCCTGCCCGAGGCTGAGACGCCCACACGCCGCTCCTCTTAAGCCCCTCCACGGTGAAACAGGAGGGTTTCCCGTGAGCTCACGGCCAGCCTTGGCCCCTGCTTGCCCTTGCAGATTCTGTGGACCTTCTCCATCTACCTGGAGTCAGTGGCCATCCTGCCCCAGCTCTTCATGATCAGCAAGACGGGGGAAGCCGAGACCATCACCACCCACTACCTGTTCTTCCTGGGCCTCTACCGCGCTCTGTATCTCGTCAACTGGATCTGGCGCTTCTACTTTGAGGGCTTCTTTGATCTCATTGCCGTGGTGGCTGGCGTAGTCCAGACCATTCTGTACTGCGACTTCTTCTACTTGTACATTACAAAAGGTGGGTGCTCTGCCCGTGTGGCTCCTACGGTCAGGTCCTCTTTGGGCCAGCTCTCCTCACCCGGCACTGCCTCACGGAGCACGGCTGCTTCAGAAAAACATTTTCATTATTGAGAAGTAAAAATCTGGGTCAGGGTTTTCAGTCCTTTTCAGTGTAAGGACCCCCCCCTCCCCCTTGTTTTCTATAACTTTTTATTTTCCTAAAATGGCAATTTTCATTGTAAAAAATTCAAACAGGACTGATAATTTCAAAGACAATCTGAAATCCCACTGCTCAGAAAAAATTGTTCTTGTTTCAGTAAGTATAACTCCAGATAACTCCGCATGCATATGCACAGGTATACAATGAAAACTAAGCAGGCTTCACATTTTTTTTTATAAAGATTATTTATTTATTTGAAAGAGTTATAGAGAGGCAGAGAGAGAGAGAGAGGTCTTCCATCCACTGGTTCACTTCCTAAATTACCTTAATGGCTGGAGCTGAGCTGATCCGAAGCCAGGAGCCAGGAGCTTCTTCTGGATCTCCCACATGGGTGCAGGGGCCCAAGGACATGGGCCTGCTCTGCTGCTTTCCTAGTCATTTTAACAGGGAGCTGGATCAGAAGTGGAGCAGCTGGGACTCAAACCAGCACCCTTATGAAATGCTGGCCCTGCAGGCAGTGGCTTTACGTGCTATGCCACGGCGCCGGCCCCTCACTCAATGTCTTCTCATGTGAATAAATAGGAATCTACATCAGTCTTCGATTATACGTATGCACTGCAGTATTGCCCAGTCCTGTCTGTGAGTGTGCTGTTGATTTGCTGCTACTAAAGCCAGTGCTGGGCTGGGTGTTGGGCCCCGAGATGCCACTTGGGATGTCCTCATCCTGTGTTAAAGCGCCTGGCTTCGAGTGCTAGCCCTGCTTCCAATTCCAGCTTCCTGCTAATGTGCAAGGTGGCAGGCAGCAGGTATTGGCTCAAGTACTTGGATCCTGCTACCCACATGGGAAGCCCAGATTGAGTTCCTGGCTCCTGGTTTTGACCTGGCATAGGCCTGGCTGTTGCAGCCATTTGAGGAGTGAACCAGCGGATAGAAGATCTCTGTTTCTTTTTCTCTGCCTTTCAAATAGATAAATAGATAAATTAATTTTTAAAAAATCCAGTGCTTTAGCCGACATTCTGGTTTTGTTTTTAAGATTGATTTATGGCCGGCGCCGCGGCTCACTAGGCTAATCCTCTGCCTGCAGCGCCGGCACCCCAGGTTCTAGTCCCGGTCGGGGCGCCGGATTCTGTCCCGGTTGCCCCTCTTCCAGGCCAGCTTTCTGCTGTGGCCAGGGAGTGCAGTGGAGGATGGCCCAAGTGCCTGGGCCCTGCACCCACATGGGAGACCAGGAGAAAAGCACCAGGCTCCTGGCTTCGGATCAGCGCTGTGCGCCAGGTGCGGCGGCCATTGGAGGGTGAACCAACGGCAAAGGAAGACCTTTCTCTCTGTCTCTCTCTTTCTCTCACTGTCCAAAAAAAAAATGCATCAAAACAAACAAAACAACAAGATTGATTTATTTATTTGAGAGGTAGGGTTACAGAGGGAGAGAGAGTGAGGTCTTCCAAGTACTTGAGCCAAAACCTGCTGCATGCCACTGTGCACATTAGCAGGAAGCTGGAATTGGAAGCAGGGCTAGGACTTGAACCCAGGCACTTCAATACAGGATGAGGACATCCCAAGTGGCAACTCCAGGCCCAACACCCACCCCAGGAGCCAGGAGCTTCATCCAAGTCTCCCATGTGGGTGGCAGGGACCCAAGTGCTTGGGCCATCTTCTGCTGCTTTTCCCAGGCAGGTTAGCATGAGCTGGATCAGAAGTGGAGCAGCCGGGACTCAACTGGACCCATGGGGGATTCCAGCGCTGCGGGCTGCAGCTTAACCCTGCTGTGCCACAGCACTGGCCCTTCTTATCTCTTTATACCCCACATTTCACACAGCTCTGTTACATTTTAATGTATGTTGGCTAGGATAAGTCACAATAACAAAACTATTATGACTGTTTTGGCGTTTGCAGTCACATTTCAGGGTTTTACATGTGACTCTCTTGCTTCCGTGTGCCTCGCTGTGTGGAATCTTGTGTGTGGCACTTGCAGGTGTGGGAGGAAGGGACCCTGTGAGCCTGTCGGTATCAGTAACGCTCAGCCTTCTCTTCCTCTCTGCACGCTAGTGCTCAAGGGAAAGAAGCTCAGCTTGCCAGCGTGAGTGCCAAAGACCGTCGCCAGCGTCTGTCCTTCAGGGTGCTCGGACAGAATTCGGACCGCAGCAGAGGCGTAAGATGCTTGATACGGAAAATCAGAAACTCCACTCTTTTGTTGCAGATTGTCATCAGGGCTCTGTGAGGACACAGAGCCAGAGAACCAGAAGGTTTCTGTTTAATGCATCTTGCCTTATCTTTTTTTATTACTATGTACAAAGATTTTTTTACACAAAGAAACTTAATGCTGTATTAATAAATTCAGTGTGTAGCTTCAATTGGGCTAGTTCCAAAAGTGAAGATTTTGTGAGGAATAAGTGCAAACTTTTGTTTTTTTTTTTTTAAATTCTTTGACATTGTTGATTCTTTGTGTCTGCAATGAAATTGTACTCCTGATGGTCGGTAGATTATATATTCTTCCATCTATCAAACTTGCATTCCACTATATTTATTTTTTGCCAAAAGATGAGTTGTATTTGTTTGAAATCTGAGGCACTGTGTTCGGTTTGGCAAATTAGTTCAAATTTCTTCCCACCTAACACAGAGATCTTTCCTTGGACATCGCAACACTACATTTAAGGTTGGTAAGGATGACTTGCAGGTCCTATGGTTTGCATTATAAAGATGTTAAGGTTCTGAGTGTAGATAGAGTGTCAATTAATCGTCACCAAAGGTGCCTGCCCTCCTCCCCTGCTGAGTCAGCGGGAGACTCCCACGGTGCTGAGTCACTTCGTGGGCAGCAGGGGGTCCGAGTGTGGGATGGGAGGATTATTTTGGGTATTGGACTCTACTTGTTTGAGGACTGGGACACAAGTAGTTACCTGTCATTTTTATTTACAGTTCCAGAAGAGTACCACAACCATGTCCATGCTCAGATTCAAGTAGTTTCTCATGTCACTTCTGGGTGGAAAAATTTTTATTTTTTAATTGGCAGCATCAATTACCATTCTATATATTCTTTTTTTTTTTTTAAGTGAGCTCTTGCATGAATTATCTTGTGTTACCATCCTGAATAAACATTTTATTAAACAGAATAAATTGTCTTTTTATGAGTTGGGCTTTTGGGATGTCCTATGTTGGGATGATTTTTTTTTCTTGTCAGTTGGCAGCAAAAGCTCTACAGGGCTGCCAACACTTAAAATCCACTTAATACTATCCATACAACTTTCTATGAGGATAGTAGACTTTTCCTCCTGATTTTGTCATTATATTGATCCGCTACTTTTTTGGATTTGTGCAAAAATGTCTTTGTTTTTATGTGATGCACCATAAAAAAGTACTGAATACTAACAGTGCCTGCTACAAGAACAATGCAGCATTTTTGCTTTCTGCATTAGAATGTCTTGTGGAGGGAGGGAGCTGGGTGGTTCTGTTTTTATCCAGCGTGGGTCTTAACATCTTCCAGTATCGGCAGTGTGACTGCAGGGTCAGATCTTGTTTTCGCTGCTGTGTGTGTGTCGGTATCTTTAAGCCCAGCCTCCTAGTCTCTCTAGTTTTTGCGGCCTATTCCTCCTCCTCAGGTGATGGTTAGCGTGTGGAGGAAGCTCGGTGAGTCCAGCTGACTGCCCACCAGGCTGGGCTGAGCGGAGAGGAGGGTCAGTGGCTGGAGAGCAGCGTGCACAGGACAAGCATCTGGGCATCTGGAACCCCGGCGTAGCACGGCCCCGTGAGTCACCTCGCCCAGGGAAGAAGAAAGCGGGCGACATGTCCCCACCACTGCTGGCCCCTAGGATGCATCTCGGGCAGCAGGGCCGGGGGCTGGAGTGGGGGCTGGGCAGCCTCCCGCCCTGGGCACACAGGCTCTGCCGGCTTTGATGGCCTTAGAAGCACTGTTTCATAGTTATTTTCACCTCCTGAATAAAGATTATCAGGTAGTTAATATTTTATCAAGTTTTTTTTTTTTTAATTTGTGTTCATTTTTTTATTAAATTCTAAACATGAGGGACAATAAAGCCAAGTATGAGTGCCGAGAGTCCCGGCTTCCCTGCGTGTGGCACCCTTGTCCTGGATTTCCAGAAACTCGCTCCCCCGTGTGATCTGGAGAAGCGCCTGCCCCAGGGTGCTGTGCAGTCGGAGAGCCTGGGACAGCTGCCTGAACAGGAGATGGCCTGGGTCAGTTTAGACTGCAGGTTCAGAATCCTCCTTAGGACAGGAAGGCCACAGACGTCCACACAGGGGCTCCTCCACGCCTTCCCCGACTCCCTGTCTGAGGAAGAGCAGCTGCATGGGGCTTCTTCCCGTGTGCCTCTGCCCTCTAGTGGCTGGATGTGGAATTTCCAAGGAACCACAGCATCCCACCCGCTGTTCTCCAATTTTTGGAACAGTTAACATCCCAGCAAGTTGCAGATTGGTCTTGACCAATCCTCTCAAACAGCGACAGGAAGCTTTATTACAACATCTAAGGCTGTCTGTCCTGGTCTCACCCCCAGCACTTACTCCGCTCCACTTAACTCAGTTACTAAATTACATACGAAATGCCAAAACTGTCTTGGAAGAATACTTTGTAATTTTAAAATATTGAAATTAACCTGAAAACGAGCAAACAGGGCTGTTGAGGATCTTTTTTTCCTCAAAACCTGGAAGGTTTTTGGCTGTGTTTCAAGTAAGTTTAAAAAAAAAAAAAATAGGTACCAGGGGTTGCATAAGCTATTTGGCCCATATGCAGCCCTAGACTTGATTCCCCACTCTGGCTCCTGACTCCAGCTTCCTGCTGATGTGGACCCTGGCAGGCAGAGGTGTTGGCTCAGGTAGTCGGGCTCCTGCCTTCAGCCTCCACCACAGTAGGCATTTAGGGGAGCGACTCAGTAGATGGGAGCTGTGACTCTTGCCTCTTAAAAACAATGACAATCTGAGGAGGGACTCTGAAAGCTCACGGAGAAGACATCTGTCAATTTCAAAACTTGTTGACATCAAAAATAATTTAAGTCTATGTTCCACAAACTCCTTTAAAAAACCCAAAAATTTGTTTGAAAGGCAGAATGAGAAAAGGAGTGACAGACGGGTCTTTTATCCACTGGTTCACTCCCTAAATGGTTACAACAGCCAGGTCTGGCCCAGGCCAAACCAGGAGCCTGAAACTCCATCCAGGTTTCCCATGTGGGTGTCAGGGGCTCATACAGTATTTCCAAGTATACACAAAAGTACAACAGTGGGGCCGGCGCTGTGGCACAGTGGGTTAATGCCCTGGCCGGCAGCGCCAGCATCCCATATGGGCGCCAGTTCGAGACCTGGTTGCTCGACTTCCAATCCAGCTCTGCTATGGCCTGGGAAAGCAGCAGAAGATGGCCCAAGTCCTTGGGCCTCTGCACCCACGTGGGAGACCTGGAAGAAGCTCCTGGCTCCTGGCTTTAGATCAGCCCAGCTCCGGCCGTTGCAGCCTGTTGGGAAGTGAGCGAGCGGATAGAAGACTTCTCTCTCTCTCCTCTCTCTCTCTCTCTCTCTTTTTGACAGGCAGAGTGGACAGTGAGAGAGACAAAGAGAAAGGTCTTCCTTTTGCCGTTGGTTCAGCTTCCAATGGCCGCTACGGCTGGCACATCGCGCTGATCCGAAGCCAGGAGCCAGGTGCTTCTCCTGGTCTCCCATGTGGGTGCAGGGCCCAAGCACTTGGGCCATCCTCCACTGCCCTCCTGGGCCACAGCAGAGAGCTGGACTGGAAGAGGGGCAACCGGGACAGAATCCGGTGTGCCAGCACTGCAGGCGGAGGATTAGCCTATTGAGTCACGGCACCGACCTCTGCCTCTCCTCTCTCTGTGTAACACTGACTTTCAAATAAATAAATAAATCTTAAAAAAAAAAAAAAAGTACTACAGTGAGATGACCTCCACTTCTTGAGAACATCCTAAATTTTTCATCCATAAAGGCTACAATACGTATTTTTAACTGATGATACACCAACAAAATTAGTAATTGTTAGATACAAGCTAACATTTAACCCTGTTCAAGTTTTCCTGGTTGTGTCAGAAAAAGATCTTTTTATGGTTTGTCCATTTGAGTCACATCCACACAAGGTCTGCACATTGCATGTTGTTAGTGTCACAGTTTTCACTTTATTTGAGAGACAGATCTATGCACGGGCTTGTCGCTCCCCCTCTTCGTGGAGGAACGACACAGGACCCTGCGCTGTTCTTTCGTCTGCTCGGCCCTCCCCGGGTTTGCTGCTGGTTCTTCCCGGGTTGGCTACTATCCCTTCCACCTCCGTGGAAGGGCAGTTCCCCCTGGCCGCATTCCCCACTTCCGCAGGGGAGCGGCACACCGCCGGCCGGCTCTCTCGGGGGCTGCACGGGTTCCCTTAGATGTTCCCCATAGATGTTCCCGGTGCATGCCGTCTCTCTCCTCCTTTATAGTCCTCCTCCGCCAATCCTAACTCGGCTGCCCACACGCCGAGTACGCTGCTCTCCAATCAGGAGCAAGTCCTACAGTTTATTAGCTGAACTGGAGGCAGCTGTGTAGAAGCTGTTTACTTCTCTCCCAGCGCCATATTGTGGGAGAGCAGATGCATAGAATAAGTCTTAATTCCAGTAACAGTCTAGTCCGGTTTGCTCCCCACATGGGCTCACTCCCCAGATACCCACAGCATCCAGGCTGGGCCAGGCCAAAGCTGGGAGCCTAGAATTCAATCTAGTTCTCTCACATGGGTAGCAGAGACCCAAGCAGTTGAGCCGTCACCTGATGCCAGCCAGGGTGTGCATTATCAGGAAGCTGGGTGGCAGGTGCTCAGTGCTTTACCACTAGACCAAATGCCCACTCCCATATGCCTTTAAATTGTGGCTATTTTTACAATCAGGACTGGGGACCGTGCTGTGGCACCTGCAGTGCTGGCATTCCATATGGGTGCCAGTTCGAGTCCTGGCTGCTCCACTTCCGATCCAGCTCTCTGCTGTGGCCTGGGAAAGCAGTGGAAGATGGCCCAAGTCGTTGGGCCCTTGTACCTGCATGAGAGACTCAGAAGAAGCTCCTGGCTTCGGATCAGCCCAGCTCCGGTCATTGTGGCCGTCTGGGGAGTGAACAAGTAGGTGGAAGACCTCTCACTCTCTACCTCTCTGTAACTCTGCCTTTTTTTTTTGACAGAGTGGACAGTGAGAGAGAGAAAGGTCTTACTTTTTCTGTTGGTTCACTCCCCAATGGCCGCTGTGGCCGGTGCGCTGCGGCCAGCACACCGCACTGATCCGAAGCCAGGAGCCGGGTGCTTCTGGTCTCCCATGCGGGTGCAGAGCCCAAGCACTTGGGCCATCCTCCACTGCACTCCCTGGCCACAGCAGAGAGCTGGCCTGGAAGAGGG